AAAATGGTTAAGGAAAGAACAAAGCCGGAGAATTTACACGACCTGGTTTCGAGACTCTCTGTAAAGCTAAATTATGGCAGAGTGGTACTGGCATAATGAGAGCTGAATATATTGACAGGCTAGAATGGGGCGTTCTAGAACAGACCCACACATATGTAGTCACCTGGTTTTTGTCAGAGGGATCCAAGCAATCCAGTGGGGAAAAGGAAGTTTTCAACAGATTGTTCTGAAACATCTGGCTATCCACACAGGGATGGGAAAATGAACTTCAATCCCTGCCTCACACCATACAGAGATATCCAGCTGAGATGGATCAGAGACCTAAACATAAACACTGAAACCATATGGATCTTAGAAGAAGATATAGGAGAAAACCCTTTGCGACCTGGAAGAAAGCAGAGATTCTTACATGAGGCACAGAGGTTTCTTAGATGTGATACAGGATAGAGTCAGGGCACCATGGAAGAAAAACTCGATAAATTAAGTTTCATTAAAATAAAAAATGGACGTTTATCAAAAGACACCATGAAGAAAACAAGTAGCCATGCCAGAGACTGGGGGGGGAATTTTTTTTTAGAATATATCTGACCAAGGACTTGTATCTATCATATATAAAGAACTCCTAGAATTCAATAAGAAGATGGCAACTAAGTTTTAGAAATGGACAGAAGTCTTCAGCAAGCCTTTTACATAGGAAGATACACAAATGTCCACAAGTATACAGAAAAATTGTCAACATCATTAATCATTGCAGAAATGCAAAATAAAGCCACACTTCTATCTCACTACTTACACACTCTAGTGGCTAAAATTTAAAAGGCTGGAACTTGCCAGAGCTGGAAAGAACTGGAGTAACTGTCACTCATGCGTTCTTCTGCTGGTGGCATAAATGCTGCAGCTGCTTGCTTTGGGGAAATGCTTGGCAGTTACTGATGAGGTTAAATGTGCTCACCTCCCCTTTGATCCAACAATTTCACTCCTTGTGGAATTTCATTTCCAAAGGAAATGGGAGCATATGTCCACCAAGAAAAAGGCAAATGCTCATAGCAGCTTTTATTTATGACAACTAGAACTTGGAAGCCACCCAAATGTTCATCAAAAGGAAAATGGATGTAAAATTGTGGCACATTCGCGCAGCGGATTGAGACTCGGCAATAAAAACGGATGAACTGCTGATGGAGGCAGCAGCCTGGATCTCAGGGCCATGATGCTGAGGAAGGGAAGCTGGGCCCAGAAGTGGACATGACACATGATACTGCTGATGGGACATTCAGAGCAGCCGAGGAGAAGGCCTACGGTGAAGAACAGCCAGAGGGGTGATGAGGGGAGGGGACTAGCAGGAAGGGGAGGAACTTTTAGGGGAGGTGAGAATGTTCTTTAGCGTCATGGGGTTTGGGTCCCCTCGTCAGAATGGTACAGCTCAGGCACATCTCGCTACATGCATGCCTGCTCAGCTGTGTTCAACTCTGCGACCCCGTGGACTGTAGCCCACCAGGCCCCTCGGTCCATGGGATTCTCCAGGCAGGAATACTGGATTCGGTTGCCATTTCCTTCTCCAGGGATCTTCCTGACCCAGGGATCGAACCCACGTCTCCTGCGTCTCCTGCGGTGGCAGGCAGATTCTTTACCACTGAGCCACCTGGGACGCCCACAGTCTCAGTCTGCCCAAGCTCTAAAGATAGTGGGAAGCCTGTCTTACGGCGCCCCGCCCCGCGCTCGACGTGCAGAGGGTGCCCTGCGGAGGTCGGCGCATGCCTAGTTCAGTGGGTGGGGCCAGAGAAGAGGGTGGCAGAGCAGGGACTTGTCCCTCCGCGCCTTTCCTAGGACCCCACAGTCCACACGGCGTCCAGGCGTCTTTCAAGCCTGCCTGTCCTGGAAGCTTCGGAGCCCCCAGCCTTCGCTTTCCCCTCCCTCTGGATGATGCCGCGGCTCTGGCTGGGGCTCCTAACAGGGCAGGTGTCTGCCTCGCCCTGAGATGGAGAGACCTCCTGTTCCGTTTGTCTGAGCGCCCGCAGTGCCGCGTCGCCAGGGCCTCGGCCAGTGGAGCGTGCCGGCCAGCCCAGCTGACCGGGAGGCTGCGGTGCAGGAGCACGGCATTCGTGAGGCATGCGGCCCGTGCCCTGCCCGTACGCTGGGCTTTCCCATCTGCCTGACGGACGGCTTTGGGCTCAGGTGCATCTTGAGCCCTGATTCGGGTTGACTGGTGGTGGGCGCTTCCCTGGGGGGGTCTTTGCTGAGAACAGTTCTGAGCGGGTTGGGGTAGAGTCCTGGGGTCAGTGAGGATGTTCCCCCAAATGTGGGATGATAAAAGAGGCTCTTGCTGGGCTGGCAGATGACTGCCCCTGCACCTGCCGACCCCACGGACCCTTTCCAGGTTGATGTTCAGTCGTTTTGATTCATTTCATCGACTTTTGGGATATTTAACCTTCACAATCCCCTCACCCACCTGCTTGCCTTCCACCGGCCCGTCGGAGCAGAGCGGATGTCTGTCTGCAGATGGTAGGATTGGGAGCATGCCTGCCTCCCCTCTGTTCCACGCCGTCAGGATTCCAGACAGTGCTTTAGTCACCAGCCTCGCTCGGCTGATGACAGAAACCCCAGGGTGTCTAGCGCCCTTAGGAAAGAACCCCTGTGGGTCCCTGCCTGCACCGCGGCGGCCGGGGCTGCAGGAGCTGCTTCCTTCGGGGGCAGCACCTGGAGGGGCAGGGGGTGATCCGTGTGAACACAAGTGACCGTTCCCAAGGCCCACCTCGGGGGACAGACACCTTCCTCTGCCTTCTCATTGGTTCTGATGGGAGCTGGGGGACTCTGTCACCGTCTGGGTGCTGACTTGCACCCCAGTTCTCAGGACTGCCGATGTAAAGACACGCAGCTTGCTGTGGGGGGTGGAAGGCGGGCGGGAGAGGTCAGGAAGGACGGGGCTGGCCGAGCTCGCCCCCGCCACCCCCTGCCGCCCCCCCGCCCCTCCCCGTAGCCATCACGGAGCCTCAGTGTGTGACCCTAATCTGTGAAATGGTGCCAGTGCTCCCCACCTCCCAGGCGGCATTGAGTTGAAAAGCATATGTGTGTTACTCGAGTGCCCGCATGTGCTTTGACATCCTGCCCGGCCCCTCCATGGGTGGGTGGCTGCTCATGTAAGCTTTAGGGGGGTCTGTTAGCTGGCGCAGCCCCATGCAATCTGGCCGTGTTCTCTGCCCGTCTTCTGCTTCCTCACACCTGGAGAGGTTGTGAAACACCAGGGGAGGCCCCCAGAGAGGCCGCATCCCATCCCGCCCCCGCCCATCAGCTCCCAGGGTCTCACCAGGATGGGTGCTGGCTGCCCCCACCCCTGCAGATGGAAGGACGTCCCACGCTTCTGCTCACTGTCCCATCGCAGTGAGCTGGGGTGGCATCCAGGGCTCCGGGGAGACCAGGACCCTCTGGCTACTGAGGTCTTCCCTAGAACGGCACAGCCTCCTCTCCGCTAGGTTTGCAGGGAGCTTTCTCCCCCACCCCAGAGGCCCCCGCCCGCCCTCGCCTCTAGAATGGCAGCTAATATTCAAGAGCTTGGTTTGGGACGTGGCCAGAAACCCATTCATACGAGCGGCTGGTATCGTTTCTCCTCTCTCCTCACCCCCTTCCGCTGACTCGGGCAGCGGTCCACCTCATTCTGATGCCTTTCGGAGGAGAACTTGGCCAGCCCGCCTTCAGCCTGACTGGGTGGGCTCTCCCCCGCAGAGAGGCATGTGGGGGGCTGGCGTGGGCCTCCCTCTCGAGCTGGCCTGCTGAGACCCCGAGGACAGACCCCTCAGCGGGCTGAAGAGCTGGCCACCCCGGGCCCAGCGGGGCCCCAGGCCAAAGTGACCCCTGGGGTCAGGGGTGGGCTGTGTGTGCCGGGCTTGTGGGAACTGTTGGACGGTCCCATTGGCTCATTTGCTGATTTGGTGAAAATTTGTTGAGCACCTACCTTGTATCAGGTGTGGAGATCAGAAGGGATTACGAAGTTGGGTTTCATCTGGGGGTGAGACAGGCTTACCCACAGGCATGTATGGAATAACGGGAGGTGCCGTGAGAGGAGAGGCCTCCGTATAAGAGCGCTGGGGAGAGTCCGAGATGGCAGACTAGGTGGAGGTCCCGGAAGGCATCTTGGAGGAGGTGTCTCCTGACTTGATTCTTGCAGACCAGAGGGGATAACTTGTTGGGCAAGCTCATGAGTGGAAACAAATGCTTACTGAATTGTAAATCAAGCAGTAACTGCTTTTGTGCAGGCTCAGTCGCTTCAGTCATGTCCAACTCTGTGACCCCATGCACTGTAGCCCACTGGGCTCCTCTGTCCATGGGATTCTTCAGGCAGAATACTGGAGTGGGTTGCCCTGCCCTCCTCCAGGGGACCTTCCCAACCCCTGGATCAAACCTGGATTTCCTGCACTGCAGGCGATTCTTTATCGCCGAGCCACCGGGGAAGGCCGGTAACTTCCTTTCTCGTTTGGAAAGGCGCATTGCAAGCTCCGCGTCCCTCTCTGCTCGGCTCCGTGACCTTCTGGCAGGGAAGATGTCCGTGAACCTGTGACTTCTGCACTTTGACCTTCACACTTGGACCGCAGGGGCTGGGGAGCCTCTGGGCTGAGCCGAGAGCACGTGGGCCTCCAGGCCCCAGGTGTGGGCGCAGGGAGGGCATTTTTGGTCCCCAGAACTGGGCACCACCTGTTGAGGCAGCATCTTGTCCCAGCCTCCCGTTGGGCATCCCCGGCACTTACTAAACAGCTGGGGTGGGTGCACTTTATTGTGGTGGGAGACCTTCCGGAAGGGCAGCAGGCAGAGCCCGAGGCTGCCTGGATTGCAATCCCAGAAGCCTCAGAAGGCAGTGCCACAACCCGTCCCTGGACCGGGAGATGGAGGCTGAGAGGGAGGGGCTCTTGGTGGCCCCAAACGCCTCTTCTCTCCAAGAGGCCCCCGTGGGCTGGCGCTTCTGGCGGCCGTGGCTTCAGCCCCCAGCCCTGACCCCCTCTACGCCCCCGCAGTGAGCATGGCGTGGGAGAGGACATCTATGACTGCGTCCCGTGCGAGGATGACGGGGACGACATCTACGAGGACATCATCAAGGTGGAGGTGCAACAGCCCATGGTGAGCCCCGCCCGCCCCGCTGTACGGCCTCCGCGCCACCCCGCAGCTGAGCCACCGAGAGGGGCCCTGGCCCTTCCCGGCGCCTCGCGGTTTCTCCCAGGCCAGCCGGCCAGCTGCCCCTTCTTACCTGTGAACTGTTCCCGGGAGACTGGGAGGCGCCACCCCCACCGTCCCACCTCCCCCGGGGGCGCTGCCTTGGAATTCTGCCCCAGAAGGCATGCAGGACCCCGAGTCCCTCCTGCCCGAGGAGCCTGGGGCGGAGACTCAGCACTGACCTCAGGCCGCTGGCCCCCCGTCCCACCCCCGCGCAGAGGCACGAGGCGCCGTGGGCTCAGTCAGCCGTGGCCGGCCGGGTGCCTTCCTGCACAGGGGTGTTCATTTCCAGCTGTCGGCAGCCACCTCTCTGACACCTGTTTGTGCAGCTGCTTTGCTGGGGAGGGGGCCCTGCCGGGATGGGAGTTGGGGACCCGGTGGGGTGGACCCCAACTGCCTCACACCCCCAGACTCCTGGGGGTGGGCGAGATGCCCCTTGTCAGCTCTAGAGGCTCTTGCTGCCATTTGCTTTCACCAAAGAAATGCGGGGAATTTCTCCAAAAGCAAGTTTTGGTGTTTTCCTTCAGTGTGGGAGTGACCACCTGGTGGTGCAGAAACTAAGGACTTTCAGAGGCCTTTCCTTCTGCAGGGAGGTGCTGAGACGCTGGGCAGTCAGCTCACAGCCCCAAACTCCAGAAGAGGTGTCTCATTTTGCCCCTTGAGAGTCTGAAGGTAGATTTCCTTCCCCACGATCACCAGGAATCTTGGTCTGTGGGTCTGTGACCCCAGGTCTGCCCCTCCCCGCAGACAGTCCTGCTCCTGAACCTTCCAGGGAAGTCGGCTCCAGGGGCTGGAAGTCTCTCCTTCGCCTCCCTGGAGCTGGTCTGAAAGGCTGGCCCGCCTCTGCGTTTGGCAGCAAGCTGAGATTGGGGCCCGCTCGCTCCCCAGGCTTTGGAAGCTGGGTATCCTGAGGGTCAGGGAAGGTCATGTGTGTGCAGTGGCCGGTGTGGCTATCTAGGGGCACCCCCCCAACCCCAGCTGGCTCCCGAGAGACCCCATCTGTGTCTGGCCTGCAGAAACCCCAGGATGCACTGCTGTCCCTGGTCCTGAAGGGACTTACAGGACCCTGGGCACCTGCAGGGCTGAGGGGGTGCCCGCCTGTGTCCTGGGGACAGGCTGGCGTCCCACCTGCCGAGCGACGCTTAGCTTCCCAAGGCTTGGCGCTGGGCTCACAGCGGTCCACCAGGCAGAGCGGGCCTGCTGCCACATGCCAGGTCCTCAGAGATAAAGCAGCTGGCTTTATTTCCTTCCCCTTCATGTCTGGAGCTATCTGAACAGTCTGAGTGGAAGGTACAGTGGATAGTGATGTTTCTAAAGGAAGATAAAGCCAGGGCATGGCAGGTGCCACTCAGAGCCTGGCCCTGGATGGGGGGAAGGTGTCACCTGCTCAGTCCCAGTCTGTCCCATCCCAGTCTGACCCCATCCCAGTCTGACCCCTATCCCAGTCTGTCGCCATCCCAGTCTGTCGCCATCCCAGTCTGTCCCCGTCCCAGTCTGTCCTGTCCCAGTCTGTCCTATCCCAGTCTGAACCCTATCCCAGTCTGTCCTATCCCAGTCTGAACCCTATCCCAGTCTGACCTCTATCCCAGTCTTTCCTATCCCAGTCTGACCTCTATCCCAGTCTGACCCCTTTCCCAATCTGACCTCTGTCCCAGTCTGACCCCTATCCCAGTCTGTCCTATCCCAGTCTGACCCCTATCCCAGTCTGTCCTATCCCAGTCTGACCCCTATCCCAGTCTGACCTATCCCAGTCTGTCCTATCCCAGTCTGACCCCTGTCTCAGTCTGACCCCTCTCCCAGTCTGACCCCTATCCCAGTCTGACCCCATCCCAGTCTGTCCTATCCCAGTCTGACCTCTATCCCAGTCTGTCCCCCCATCCCAGTGCTGTCCCCGTCCCTAAGCCGTCCTCCCATTTAGCTGGGCTGGCATTCGGTGGGTGGAGGGTGTGGCATGATCCCTGGGTCTGGTGTCTATGTGAGCGAGCTCCCTGACTTCCCCAAGCTTGGCTTGAGTCAGAACAAGCACTGCTAACTGGTTCTTTCTCCTGTTTGTTTCTGCATGCTTTCAGATTAGATACATGCAGGTAAGTGACAGGTGGAGGGGAGGCCCAGGCTCAGGTCTGCCAGCACCGTCTTCCTGCACATTCAGGAAGCCTCAGTCCTCTTTGCAACAACCCAAGACCCCTTTAGGGAGATAGTATCGGGCTCCACATTCTTACACACAGTTTTAGGGAGTCATGGACCCTCAACCCAAGTTCCCAGGCTGAACAGGGCTTCGGGCTTTGGGAAGGAGCCTGGGTCATGTGCCCACTCGACAGGCTGCTTTGGAGAGCTGGCCAGCCTGCTCGGGCCCTTCTTTTGTCAGAAAGAAGGATGATGTCAGGGCGGGTTTGAGTCCAAACGGCCCGTGAGTCACCTATCAGCATTCTCTCAGCCAAAAAGAACTTAAGGAGGAGGCCTGGGCGTCCACAGTCGCCCCGATAGTCACCCCCCGCCCCCTGCGGCTTCTTCCCCGGCCCCTGTGGCCACACCGCCTTGCTCAGCCCTGCTCCAGAGGCCCCCCGACAGGGGCCCGTCCCAGGGTCCCCTGCCGATGGGCTCATAGCTCTGCACAAGGTCGGAGACCGCTGGGTATTTGGAACTTCCGGCTCTGCCAGGGATTGGCCCCTTTCTCCGAAGCACTGACAGGCTGGGACGGTAGATCAGTTGGTGGACGTGGGTCCCCAGGGAGCTGGTCAGAGCCTCTCCCCATGCGCACAGTAGGCGCTTTAAGCATGTGACACCTGCTGTATGTGCTGGAGGGGGTGGCCAGTCTGGTGGAGACCTGTCCCTTCTGGGCTGTCCTCAGGGCCGTGCCACGCCCCCTGCGCTGGCCTCAGCGTCCTCGTCCCCAGGAAGGGGGGAGGGCCACGCTGTCCCCCTTCGCACGCCCTCCACACTCGGCGACCCCCGAGCCCAGCCGGGGGCACAGTGGGGCCCTGGCTGACGTCCTGTGTGGTCCTGCAGAAAATGGGCATGACGGAGGATGACAAGAGGAACTGCTGCCTGTTGGAGATCCAGGAGACGGAGGCCAAGTACTGCCGGACGCTGGAGGACATCGAGACGGTGGGCGTGCCGCCGGGGCTGCCCCGGACCCCGCCTCCCGGGGGCCCTGTCCCTGGGCAGGGACTCAGGGCAGTGGTACAGGCGGGGCGCGGGGGCCCTCTCAGTTTTGCACCCCTGACCCTGCCTATCCGGAGATCGCCCTCACCTATATCCTCTGCCCTCTGGCCCCACGCAAGCTGTGGGCTCCACCCAGGCTGGTGTCCTGGGAGGCCCGGGTCCCGCCTCCCACCCCTCAGCTTCAGCTCAGACCCGGGACTGTCCTGAGCTTGTTTCTGCCACTCCTTGCAGCCTGAACTGGACGTAGTTGCCGCTTCTGCTCCTGAAATATACTGAGCTAGGCCCCTTATGTGTGCATCCTCGCCCAGAGCTAAACGCCTTCTGCATACGCTGTCACCCAGCCTGGGCACTGAGTGAGCTCTTTGTGAGCACCTCCTCACTGGGCACCGTCTGCACTCAGCCTGCCCTCCGTCAGCCGGGCGTGCAGCAGGGCCGGCCTGTAGGTGGCTGAGTGCCCTGCACCTGCGGCTCCACTGGGCCCGATGCTGGCAGTCCCGCTGGCAGACGGTGTGATCTCCCGATCGGCTGGTCAGTGCTGTCTCCCCGCCGGCCTGCCCAGCTCCTGGAGGACACGGGTGGGCCTTTTCCCCGCTCCCTGTGAGCGCTGGCTCCGTGCCGTCTCCCTGTCACTTGGCATCCTCACGACAGTGCTTGGCGGTGTGAAAGAACTGACATCGCTTTCAGGAGGGACCGTTCCCCGTTAGTCTTTCTTTGCAGAGTGTAAAGCCATCATGGGGACCCCTAGCTTGGTCCCCACTGTTCAGGGCATGCGGGAGCCTCCAGCCAGGAGTCCGGAGATGCCCCTTGGCCCCGGGTCTGGTCCAGACTTCAGAACTTTCCCCTCCCCCCACCCCACCCATCCCTCCTGTTCTGCCCTTCTGCGCCCCCGACCACTCGCCTTTCTGTAGACACACCGTCCGGGCTGCCCAGCCTGGCCTCCTCATCTGCCCACCCCGCCCCCAGCGGGCCTGACTCCCTGGTCAGCTCCTCCCAGGACCCTCCTCCTGGAGGGCACGGAGCCCGAGTTCTGCTGCAGAAAGCCTGCAGGCTGCTGGGTCCTGTCCCCGCCCCAGGAATCCGGCCCTGGGGCGCAGGCACAGCGCATCCAGGATGCACGTCGGGGGTGAACGGGGGCCTGCCCAGCCAGGGCATGCCTCATGCTCTAGGGGATGATGGTGTTTGTAACCCTGCCCAGCCCCCCAGGTGGGTCTCAGGGGAGGAAGCAGTCCCAGAGAGGGGCGCCGCACGGCGGGGGGAGCTATCCCGCGGCCACGAGTGCGGGTGGACAGCTTTCTCCTGCTCTCACAGCGGCCGAGGAGAGGGCCAGGCGGCCAGGACCCGGCGGGAGAAGGGCAGGGAGGGGCAGGGTGGCCAGCCGTTCACTGGGGGGCGAGTGGGGCTGGAGTGCGCCCTTCTGATGACAGGTTTGGGGGTACACTCGGCAGAGGCCCAGGACCTGATGTCGGGGGAGACTCATGGCTGTGTCTTCATCCTCACATGCACCCTTGGGTGATGCCCCTCACCTCCCGGGGGAACCTCATTTTTCCCAAATGTCTCAGACAGCAATAGCAAAGCCTGCCCTGGTTGCCTTGGGGTTGAAGTCCAGCGCCATGTGCAGGGAACCCCCAGTGGAGCTTTGCCCACCATGGAGGGGTGGGGGTCCGGCGCTCACACGGATTCCCAAGCCCGACCCCGCCCGGTCCCACACTGGGCTCGCCCCGCAGAGTGACTCTCAGGTCTCCCCAGAAAGCCCGCGTTCTCCTGGAGGCAGAGCCCTGCTGTGGGCCGGGCCGAGTGGCCGCCCCGTGGAGAGCCCGTCTGGGGGCACGTGACCCTTGAGGCCGGTAGAGTCCCCCTGCACCAGCGACCGTGGCCTCGAAGGCATCCTCCGGGCCATGGGGCAGCGAAGGCTTCTCTCTTGCAGAACTACGTGACACCCCTGAGGCTGGTCCTCAGCCCGGCGGACATGGCGGCCATCTTCATCAATCTGGAGGTGAGGGTCTGCCCCGGCTCGCTGTGGGGGGGCCGCCGTCCCGACCCGCTCCGACGTCGGGCGGGCTCCCCCTTGAGGGGGCTTGGAGGGCTGGTCCCTGGAGGCCCTCGAGGGCCCCTGAGGTTTGGTTAGCAGTGGAGGGACGCTGTCCCCTCCCCCTCTCTGGGCAGACCAAGCCCCCTAGCTGCCCGTGGGGTCTGAACTCGGACACAGAGGGTGACGGCCGCCCCTCTGCCCTGCAGTGGACACACTTCCCCGGGGCTGGGCCCCACTCCCGCAGAGGACAGACTCGGCCCTCAGAGCCTGTGAGCGCCTTCGCTCCCTCACCCAGCGGGTGGGTCACGAGGATGCTGGCTGGGGTCTGGCTCCAGGCCCTGCCTGGGGTTGGCCGCCGTGTGTCTGGACAGGCTGGTACGGCCGTGGCCAGCTCTGGAGCCGTCCAGTGGCTCGCATCCGGGGAGGCGCACCCAGCGCCCAGCCCGCACGTGGCTGTCCTTCAAACAGCAGCCCCGAGAGAGCTTGACCAGAGCCTCTGCACCCGCCCCCCACCCCCGGCCTCCGAGCCTGCTCACACGCAGTTGCTGTTCATCCCAGGACCTGATTAAGGTGCATCACAGCTTCCTGAGGGCCATCGATGTGTCCATGATGGCAGGCGGCAGCTCGCTGGCCAAGGTCTTCCTGGACTTCAAGGAGAGGTGAGTGGACAGGGCCTGGGGGGCGTCTCTGGTTCCTCCCTGTCCTCACTTGTAAACTGAGGAAACTGCCTGCCCTCCCAGCCTGGATTGGAGGGGGCCTCACGGGGGCCCTAACAGCCCTGACTTCACCTCTGTTCCTGGGGGTCTGGGTGGATAGGGACCCTCTTGCCATTAGGGTTCCCCGCTGTGCTGTGGGCCCCCGGGGATCCGATTCCAGGGGACTCTGGCTCTGAGCCTGGTGGGCGTGGATCTTGGCAGCTGCTGCTGCAAGAACCAACCCCCTGCAGGCCTGAGTGAGGGGCTTCAGGGGCTCCTGGTCCCAGGGCGGACACATGCCTGCTTCCTTGCCAGGACGCTCCACCTGGACTTCCTTATCGGTTGGTCAGGGGCAAGGATGGCATTTGTACCTCTTGGTGCCGTGTGGGTGACCAGAGGCCGGGCCTGGTCCCCAGCCAGTGAAGGCAGCGGCGGCCGGCTGTGCAGAGGGGCCAACCCCAGGTGACCAGGCCAAGTGCAGGCGGCAACCATGGGCGCGGATGCGTGGCCGTCCTGGCGTAAACTGGCTTCAGCCCTGCACTTGGGGAGACGGTGGTTCCGGGGCCCAGAGTCACAGGGCACTGGACCTTCCAGGGGTGCCCTGGTCCCGTCTGAGTGTCTGCAGCTTTGGGGCAAGTGTCCACAGAGCCGAAGGGGTGTAGATGCCCTCGTTAGAATCCGAGGCGGATTCTCTCCTCCGGGTCCCACTCAGGCAGTTAGAGTCTGGATGCAGAGAGGGCCCCAGTCTCCAGCCCAGCAGCGTCACCTGCAGTCCCTGTGGCGCTCAGTGACAGCCCTGGTCTGGGATCCAGACTGTCGGTGGAGGAGAGTGACAGCTTGTTAGGAATCAGCGCAGGCGCCTTGTTTAAAAAAAAAAGATTATACCGTTATTGTGTGGCCTCTGAATCCGTTTGATTCTTCGCTTTAAGCCTCTGTTTTGTCACCCCCGCTGATGGAGGGGGTGTGGAGGTGGCCTTCTGTTCTCGAGAATGGCCTGCTGGAGCCTGGCGGAGGGTTGGGGGGGGGGGGCGTGGAATCGGGATTCTGGAAGCTTCCGGCTGAGTGCGGAGGGCAGCTGTCAGGATGGCTCTGTCGTCCCAGCAGAGATCTCGGCCCCTGCTTCCCTCCCTCGCGCCTCAGCCGCCAGCTCTCGAGGGCGAGATGCTGACGAGGACGAAGCCAGGTGAAGTGAAGGGGGCTCGCGAGAGGCCGGCCCTGCGGGGGCCCGGGAGACAGCAGCTTCAGCCACTGAAATCCCAGGAGGTCCACCAGGAGACAGGGCCTCGCTCTCTCTGTACCATGGAATCTTTGGAGCAGGAGCCCACGGAGTCTTGTCTCAAGCTTAGACCTTGCTGCTTGTTGAGGCCACGTGGGAGCTCGTTAAAACACCGATTCCTGGGGTCTGAGGAGGGGCCCCGAGAGCTGCAGAAGGCCCCACGGGTCGGCGGGGACCCTGGGTCCCTGTCACCCTCTCTGCAGGAGGGTCCCCTGCATCGTCCGCCAGGTAACCTCAGCTCCGCCTGTAACCAGCCTGCCCAGAGCCACCGCGGCGCGCCTTCACCTGGGACCCCTGAAGGGGCCTCCCCAGGTGCCATCCAGCTCCGGGCAAGGCGCTGTGATCCCCTGAATGGGCAAGGGTCCTCGAGCCTGCTCCCTCAGGGGCCAAGAGTCGGGGGCTCCCGGGAGCCGCGAGAGAGCAGCAGTGCCCGTGTAAATGCACGTGCCAGGGGAGGGGAGTGGACAGGGCTCCTCCGGGCCCGGCAGGTGTGGGCACGCTGGCTGGCCCGGGTGACGGCACGCAGGTGGAGGCCGGGGCCAGGCCGGCTCTCTAGCCCACCCTCTGCCCCCAGCAAGGTTCTCCTCTCACCTGGCTGCAAGACACCGCGCCAGGTGAGCCCACGTCACGGTGCCCTGCTGGTGAACTTGAGCTGTCAGACCTGACCCTCGCCCAGACGGCAGGCTAAGCGCCTCATTCGTGCCGTGCCTTGGCTGAGCAGGGGCGGCTGTGGATGAAGCTGAACTCTGGGCCTGTTAACCCAGCACAAGGGCAGGTGGCCGAGGCACGGATGGGTGATGTGCCCTCTCGGAGGCCCTCCTCATCCCCCGTGCACGGCTGCCTGGCCCCCGCAGTCCAGTTGGTCCGTGAGCAAGACCTAGCGCCCCCCTCCACACACGATCTCAGGCTGACCCGCCCCCAGGCCTCCTCTCCTCGGAACATGATGGTCTTTCCACCTTGGAGAGTGGAAGCGAGCTGACCGTATCCCGGTACCCAGAGCTCTGCAGACCGTCACCCCCTGCGAGGCCTCGGGGACCCAGGCCCTTCTGTTGCGGGAGGGGCTGGCTGCGTGTCTTCAGAGTTTATTGGCCAAATCGCTGTGTGCATCCCAGCATCCACCTTCTCTGGGATGTCCCTTCAGTTTCTGAGTCAGCCCCTATGGCCTTGATGTTCACTGAATTACCGACGCCACAAGCATTTATGGAGTGCCTACTGTGTGCAGCACCTGAGCATTTATGGAGTGTCTGCTGTGTGGCTTCCATACTCTGGGCCAAGGACATCATGGTAAACATAGTTGGCTCAGCTCTCCCTGGGAATGAGTCCACAGACGAGACTTATTATGGGCTGCAGGAGAGCAGGGGGAAGGGGACGTGGGGCTGGGACTTGGAGCCGATGGTGGGGGCCCCTGAGGACCTGGGTGAGAAAGGATCAACCCTGAGGCCGTGTGGGCAGCAGAAACTGAAGGGAAGGTCCTAGCAGGAGCTGGGAGCCCTGTTCTGGAAATTGGGAGAGGCCAGGGGAGCAGGAATGAAGGGGGTGAAGAGGCGGCTCTCTAAGGAGCAATCACAGGTTCTGCAGGATCGGTAGGCTGAGAGAGGGATTCACAATTTTTTAGATGAGGGCAGGAAAATTCACTGAGGAACTCAAGGGGCAAGATCCTGGCTGCTCAACACGGATGAATGATGGGGTGGCATCTGAGTGTGGTATGACCAGTGCCAAGTGGCAGAGGACAGTCACCTCCGTCTTTTTGGAGGTTATACTCCCATTAATGTGGCCTTGATCCTTAGACAAGGCAGATGCTGCTGTTAACCATGTGGGCCTAAAGAGACGTGTCCCACCCAGAGGGACATTTTGCATTAAAGTCAGAGAGGTTCGCATTAAAGTCAGACTGTTTGTATCTATTGCTGGGGCTGACCAAGGCGGCCCAGAGCCCTACTTCTGGTGGGTCAGAGGCTCGGGCCAGATGGGCCCCGGGGAGCTGGTGGCCCGGTGGGAGGGCAGGAGTCCTGGCTTTTAAAAGGGACTCCGTGTGGGGCTTTGCACAAGTGCTGCTAGGCGGATGTCATTCAGAAAGGCAGGTTCCCCCTACTCAGGACCCAGGGGCTTCCACGAGTGTCTGGAGGGGGGTCCTGGGCGGGCAAGGCTTCTGTGCCCCGTGGCTTCTGCTGCTCCAGTGTCAGGTGGATGGCGCTGCGGCCTGCCTGTGAGCTTCACTCGCGGAGACGGGGTCTCTGGGGACCTCTCGTCTCAAAGCCTGAGGTTGGGAGGTCCTGCACGGGGACAGCCGTCTCGTATCCTCCTAGAGCCCCCACAGGGGCTCCCGTGGCCGCCCCGTCTGGAGGGCTGCCCTGGACCCTCAGCTGGAAAGGCCAGCCTTCTGCCTCTGTCCAGCTCTCCCTTCCCAGGTGGGGGAGCTGAGGGCAGGAGAGGGGTGGGGCTCGGCCCGTGTCCCGCGGCCTGGCCCCGACGCCCTGAGCGTTTGGGGTCGTGTGGGCTGAGGCCATCAGTCCTGGGAGACGCCTGCATGCTTCCCTTTATGGGGCTGCAGCCGAATGTTCAGGGCTAAAGAACACAGCCCAGGGGCAGAGCCGCACGGAGCTGGTGACGAACGTCAACCGGCTCAGCACAGGGAGGCCGGAAGGACGACGGGGCTCGCTCAGAGGACGGTCTGGCACTCTGGCCGCGGTCAGTGGGGACAGACGTTAGGACGGAGGCGGCCACCTTAGATACAAACCGGTCCGTCTCCTCCCTGACAAGAGCGCCGAGTTCCCCGGGTCATTTCTGCCCTGACGGAGATTGTGTACCGAGCGGTGTCCGCCGAGGGTGCGTCAGGCCGGGTCCGAGGCTGCTTCCCTGGCTGTTCCTGGGCACCCTCGTGAGACCCTGAACCATGAAGCCCTCCTTGCCTGCATTGCTTTGCTTCCAAGTTTCGATACTTTTACTCAACAGCAGTAGATTTTTATGGTTAAAATGAAGGCCCATCAGCTTCACTTCCTTCACTGACTTCCTCCAACAGACTTAGAACATCTTGTGTTTGCCTGGATTTTCAAGGGAGAGTCAAACCGCCCACAGAGAGTCTGGCCTGGGGCTGGTGCTCGGAGGTGCTGTGGCGTGGATGGAGGGCGAAGGGGTCAGCACGAGTGTCCTGGGGCTGTTGTCACAAATTCCCACAAACTCGGAGGCTTAACACGTTAGAAATTTAATTCTCTCGCAGGCCTGGAGGCTAGTGTCCAAAACCGGTCTCGCTGGGCCCTGCTCTCTCTGGAGGCTGCGGGGAGGGGCCTCCCTGAGGCTTCCAGCGCCGGGGGGCCCCAGATGTCGTTGGCTTGTGGCCACAACCCCCCAGTCTTTCTCCACGCTCACATGGCTTCTTTCTGTGTCTCTGGGTCCTTCCCTCTCTTATAAGGACCTTGTCCTTGGATGCAGGGCCCACCCTAGTCCGGCGTGGTCGGACCGCGGTCCTGAGGGCTGTGATTACATCTGCAAAGACCCTATTTCCAGGGTCACATCCTGAGGCCCCTGGTGGACGTGCCTTTGGGGACCACTATCCCGCCCAGGACAGGGCGTCTTGGCCAGTCAGCTGAGTCCCTGTGCAGTCTCCCTCCCGTCTCAGCGGGGCCAGCTGTGGCCGGAGGCGGGGGTGTGTGCAGCCGCGGCTCTGCTCCGCAGTTGGGTGGGGCTGGGGGTGGCCCTGGAGTGCTGGCCGTCGGACTCAGAAGAGGCCTCCCACGGGGCTGGGGAGACTGAGCTTGGCAGCCACGTGGATTCTAGATTTGCTGTGGGATCCGGCCACTCCCTTGCTGGTGACCTTAGGAGTCTGGTCACCTCCCAGAGCCCAAATACGGTGTGTATGTGAGCCTGAGAGCGGACGTGGGTGCGTCCCTTGGTCTTTGCTGTAAGTGGCCGTGGTCAGGTTTTACTTGTCACCTGTTTACAGATGCTGTAACAGCCTTGTGCAGGCCGTGCCGGCCGGGGCTCCAGGCTGCATGCTGGCACGCGGCGGGGAGTGTAGCCGGCCCCTGGAGCTCAGAGCTGGCGGGGGGGGGGTCTTTGTGGACCCCGCCAGACGGGATAGGCTCTTCCCCACCGCTCCCCGCCCGTCTGCGCGCTCTGCCTGGCCCAGCTGAGCTGGAGGACGGGGTGGGGAGGGGCGGGGACACAGCAGGAAGTGGTAAGGCAGGGTTTTGATGGGTGAATAGAAGTTTTCTGGCTGGAGAAGTCTGCAGCTATACTGGCTGGTGTGTGGGGTATGCAGTGAGGAGAGCAGGGCTGGGACCTGCTGTCCGCACGCCTTGTCTGCCAGAACCTCGGGCTGAGTGAGCCGGGGGAGTGCGGAAGGTAAGGGGGGTGCCCCAAGGCTGGCCATTCGGGGACTCTGGGCTCCGGGGGCTCAGGAGAAGGTCTGCAAGGCCCGGGAGGGAGTCGGGGCTGCTGAGGAGCAGGGGGGCCTCTGTGTCCGGGAACGTGGGCAGTGCCCGCTGGGCTGTGGGCAGGGCTTTTGCTGCCCACGTAGCCTTCCCTCCATGAGGGGTGGCCCTGCCTCCACGGACCAGCTCAGGTTGCACGGAGATCTCTGGGTCTCTGGCCCCTGATCGCTTCCAGAGATGATGGGTCTTAATCAAGTTTCATGTGATAACTCTCAGTTTAATAGCAAGCCATTGGAGTGGAAATGTTCGGGGAAGGTGGGTGCCCATTTCCCCCATGGTTGGCAGCCCTCCTCCTGGGCAGGGAAGGGAGGGAACACAGCCTCATGGAGAGAACTCATGAGGAGCTGTCGGGGGAGAGAGCTGCGGCTCGTCATGAAAGCAGAACAGACTCACACCGTGTGTGTGTGTCTGTCTGTCTGTCTCTATGTGTGTCTGTGTGTGTGTGCCCACCACCCAGGCTCCTGATCTACGGGGAGTACTGCAGTCACATGGAGCACGCCCAGAACACACTGAACCAGCTGCTGGCAAGCAGGGAGGACTTCAGACAGAAAGTCGAGGTACTGGGACCTTCCCCCCCGGGCCCGCCCATCCCGGGCTGCTTCTCCCCATCCCTGGCCTCTTGCCCATTTCCTGGAAAGGTGGGGACGGGGCACTGATGTGACGTGTTTGTAGATGTTTTTGGCTGATGAGTATTTTTTCCTTTGCCTTTTGTTGGGGTTGAGAGTGGCCAGGGGGCAGTCACCGTCCCAGGCCCGGGTCCAGCCTGAGTCCCCTGGGTGCAGCAGCAGCAGGGCCCCAGGACCAGATCTGGCTTAGCGGGGGGCTACGACTGATCCCTGACCCTGGTCTGTTTGGACCCTGAGGGGGCCCCAGGTGATGGATGTTTGCTGGGAGCCGTGGAGTCTCCCAGCCCTGCGAGTCTCACCCCCCTGAACCCCCCACGTGAGCTTCTGTCCAGCCTCCTGCCACCTTTGGGGCAGCAGGCGGTTCACAGAGACGGGGCTTCCCGGGTTGTGTCTGGCTGCTCGGATGGTTTGCAGGGTGAGTCCTGGTGGCATGGCCCCTTTCTCCCGCAGTGTTGGGGGTGATACGCCCCTTGGAGAGGCCTGATGCCCCTGTGTATCCAGTCAACCACTGGAAGCCCTCATTCCTGAGGGTGGTCCCCCCTTAGTGTGAGCTGGCTCCCCTGAGCATCTCGGGTAGACCCCAGGCCAGGGGTCACTCAGACTCCATCCCCAGGTGGCCACTGCAGACTCCTGAGGCTGTGAGAGGCGGCAGGCCCCTTGCCCTCTGCACACGCCGGGTGTGGGGAGGGTGTCTGGGAGCTTGACCAGAGAGCCACTAGACACCCTGGCTGGTAGCTCAGGGCTTGAGTCTGCCCTCCTCCGCAGGCTGGGGGATGGGGGTGCTGGGGTCTGGCAACCCTAAGCAAGGATGCTCTAAATCTACCTGCTGCTCCCCCGACACCCAGGAATGCACCCTGAAGGTCCAAGACGGGAAGTTCAAGCTGCAGGACCTGCTGGTGGTGCCCATGCAGAGGGTGCTCAAATACCACCTGCTCCTCAAGGTGAGACGGGCCGGAGTGCTGTCTTAAGGCCCAGGCTCTGAGTGGTGACCCACTCCCCTCTGCGCTCCAGGAACTTCTGAGCCATTCCACCGACCGGCCGGAGAGGCAGCAGCTCAAAGAAGCGCTGGAGGCCATGCAGGTGGGTCACCGAGGCAGGGGGGAGGCTGGGCAGACAGGGCTTTGCGGGCCGGGCCTGCCATCTTGGACTGGACCTGGGCTCACAAATGACCTGACCTCTGTGACCCGAGACGTAGGTTTTCCTGGGACGGCAGGAGATGGAGGAGGGGGCAGGATGGTGGATGAGACCCACCAAGAGCAGAGGGGCCATGTGTGTGTGTGGGGGGGGGCTGGGTTCTCTTCCGCAGCCGCCCCCCGGCCTGCAGTGACTTCCCCGGGACCCCCTTCCTCCTGCCTCTCTGACTGTCCACTGCCGCTATCCGCAGAACGCAGGCAGCGGACTCGGTTCTGGGCCGCCTGGCCCTGTGGTTCCCTCTGAGCAGCCCTGTGGCAGCCGCTTCTGAAATGCCCCCTACCCCAGCCACGCCACCTCTCCCCTGCCCGCTCCGTCCACGGAAGCCGCTGAGCAGCTCCGCCCTGAAAGGAGAGCCGGGCTCCGTCCCTGCCCACTCAGAGCTGGCCCGTGGCTCCCGCCGCCCGCGGCTGCCTGGCCCCTGACACCCGCCTCTTCTGAGCAGGCCCCCGCGTGGGCTGCATCCTTCTCATCTGTGCGTTGGCTCGGGCTGGACTTGGCCCTGCTCACCAGGCTGTGCCCTGTGCGTCCTCCGTCCTTACAAAGCCGTGTTCCCTGGGGGCCCGCCCCCTCGCTGGCTTCCGCGCCCCGCGGCTCGGCGCTGTGTCGGGAGGCCCTCTGAGCAGCCTGTCCTCCTGGAGAGCCTCACTCCAGGCCGTGGGCCGCGGAGGCCGCGGGGCTGGATGGTTCACCGTCCTGCCTTCGGGTCTCAGAATCTGCCCTGCCGGTGGGCTCCCTCGTGGGGACGGACGGGAGCACTGGAGGGGAGCCCGAAGCCGGCTCTCGCCCCCCACCCACCCACCGCCCGCCTCCTGGACCCCACCCCAGGCTCTGGGTGCCTGCCCCCTCGGCCTGCTGGAGCGTGGCAGGCAGTGACCCCTGGGGACTGCTGGGAGGCCACAGCGCGCGGACAGCCGGGCCCAGGGCTGCCCTTGCTCCACGAGGAGTGGGCTGGCCCAGGTCTCCTTGGCTGTTCTCTTCCACTCGGACCGAGAAGGGAGCCGAGTGACAGACAGAAAGGAGCCACTCTAGTCTGTGAGGGGGGTTTCCCGGCCTGCCGATGGGCTGCACCTTCCCTGTCTTACTTATTTCTCGAGTGGATGATGCCTCTCACCCCGCATCACTTGGAGGCCCAGTCTCCTCTGGGGACAGGGGACGGTGCTCTGGGAATGTCCGGCCCTCGGACGGTGCCTGGCACGGGCCTGCTAACCCCTCCCCACCTCTGTTGTGTCCCAGGACTTGGCCATGTACATAAATGAAGTTAAACGGGACAAAGAGACCCTGAAGAAAATCAGTGAATTTCAGAGCTCTATAGAAAACTTGGTAAGTGAGTTGACTACCCGAAGAGTGGAGATAATTGTGACCGTCTCTCCCTCTGTAGATATAGATATAATTTCTAAACATTACTTTCACAATCTTGATTTGAATAAGTGCAAGGGTGACTGCACACTGCCCGTGGGGGCCGTGAAGGCAGGGGCAGCCATGCCCCATGCTGCCTGCCGAGAGAGGGGAGCAGCTTCTGGAGCCGAGTTGACCTTGACCTGCCGGGCTATGCACCTTGTCCAGTCCGGGTGCCCTGTGCACAAAGGTGGCCGCGGGCGGAGGGGTAGGGCCCGAGGGGAAGGACGCTGGTGCTGCCCCGCCCTCCCTGCCTGGCCTGGACCAGGACTCTCTTGGGTCCAAGAGAAGGATGTGGCTTCCAGGGGGGCTGTGGGTTCTCTTGTTCCAGGCCCCCTGGCCACCCCCTTCTGCGGTCCCTGGGAGGGACAGTGGAGAGGGTTTGGTCACCCTGTCCAGGAGCTGCCCTAGACTCTCCTCTCCACCTTGGCCTCTAGCAGGGTGACGCCTCACGGGACCCGATCGCCGGGTCTGTCAGAGGCTCAGCCTCGGGCGCTGGGTGAAGCACGCTGTCCTGTGGGGAGGGAAGCAGGCTGGTGTTCCCCCCGCCGTGTCCGTGAGCGCTGGCTCCGCGCAGTCTGCGGGATGTTTAGCCGAGGTTTCTCCATCTCGGCACTGCTGACACCTAGAGACGGCCGCTCGTGGTGGGGTCATCTGTCCTGGGCGTCACAGGATAGTGGGCTGCACCTCTGGTCCCTGTCCACTGGATACCGGCAGCCTTTTGGGGGCCCAAGTGATGACCACCACATACCCCTCCAGACAGCACCAGATGCCCCTGGGTGCAGAATCACCCTGGCCACAAACCGCTGGTTTACACACATTTTCACCTCCTGGTCCCTGAACTTACAGGGTCAAGGGGAGTCGCTGTTTAGGGCAGATCCCTGGGCTACCCCACCAGGGTCAGAAGAGCCCAGACGGGACTGCCCATGCAGACACGGGACGTGAAAACCACGACGTGTCATTCTGCAAAGAAAACAGAAGTTGCCAGACAGCATTATGACTGGACTGATTTTTCTGTCCTGTCAGAGGGCAGAGGGGGTTAAGGGCGACTGTGCCAGGCTGCTGGCGGCGGCGTCAGTGCCTGGCGGGGCCTGGCCTGTCGGTCATCCCCTCTGAGTGTCGGATGTTCTCGATGGACAGACGGGCACTACTTTTGTACAAGTACTGGTAGTTCTTGCTCATTAAATAGCAAACATTAAACAGCGGNTGTCCCCTGCATGGGCAGGGGGATTCTTTACCACTGAGCCACCAGGAAAGCCCCCACGATGCACGCTCAGTCGTGCTCTGGCAGCTTCTGGAAAACACAGAAAGCTCTGAAAGCAGATCCTGAGAGCCTGCATCGTAACGCTGGGCAAGCTGGTCCCAGAGGACTTGGCAACGTCCCCACCTTTATCTGTCCGCATCGACAGGCGCAGGGGAACCTCTCCAGAGCGTTCTCTGTGAATCAGAGCAGAGCAAAGAGGTACAAAGCAGGCGGAAAGCGAAACTGAAATCCCTGCAAATCAGAGAGAGGGTTTTGACTTGGAGGCTCTTCCTGTGGCAAATGAACCACAGGCAGGACCCTGTGCCCCGCCCGCCGTCCGTCTGATAAGTGCTGTTTGTTCTCTTTTTAATTCGGTTTCTCTGGGTCGGGCATCTGGCTTTCCCCACCAGGTTTCCACTCGGGCTCCACACAACAGCGGCCTGTTACCGTGAGCGCCCCATCAATCGCCCTTTGTTGCCGCAGAGCTGGGGGGAGTCCAGAGTGGGGGCCCCCAGGCCGGGCTCCTCCCCACCCTCCCCTCCACACGCCATCTTCAGCAGCAGCCGGGAACCTCAGGGCTGGTCTCCCATGGCCCCCGCCTTGAGGGGCGTTTCTGTGGGAAACAGCTGCCCCGGGCACGTGTCCACCTGCATTTCTCTCCATGTAGGGAACATGCTCTGGCTCCAGGGCTCACGGCCATCTCCTTTCTTTCCCAGCAAGTGAAACTGGAGGAATTTGGGAGACCGAAGATCGACGGGGAGCTGAAGGTCCGGTCCATAGTCAACCACACCAAGCAAGACAGGTGAGTGGACGCCCCGCCCCAGGGGCACCCCGCGCCCTCACGGGTCTGGAAACAGCTTCTCCTGTGAATTCAGCTTCAGGTGGCTCCATTCTAATTGCTCCTTCCTTCTCTGTGAGGGCGATGGCCAGTGGCTGCCCTGCCCGTGGCTGGCACTGCATGGGGCTAGGGGCCAGCCGGAGGCTCCTAGGGGTGGCTGTGAGAGTTCTCTGCCAAAGGGATGGTCAGGAGTGCCAGGTGGGACACAGGAAAACCCCCAGTGAGCTGGCACGGCCCTAGTCTGTTCAGTCCTCCGCTCGCACCTACCGTGTCCCAGGCCTGGGACCGTGGCCGGGGTCACAGCAGATATCAGCCCTGCCCCCAAGGAGCTCCCAGTCTGCTGGGCGATGGACATGTCAGTGGGAGTGACCGTCAGAGGCCAGTGCTGGGAGGAAGGCCAGCTCGAGGGGCAGAGGAGCCCACAAGCACCTCGGGCCTCTGGGGGCAGCAGCCTAGGTGGGCTTCCTGGAAGAGGTGTGTCTGGGCAGCTGAGACCTGGCTGAGGGGTCAGAGTTAGCCAGGGGGGCGGCTCAGGCTCGGGGAGGGAATAGCCCTCCCGCCGCCCACCCAGGCGCCCGTGGCCGTCGCGTGACCTCAGAGCCCAGGGCGCTGGCCGAGCTGATGGGTCCTGGGCCGCACTGCCGGGCAGGTACCTGTTCCTGTTTGACAAGGTGGTCATCGTCTGCAAGCGGAGGGGCTACAGCTACGAGCTGAAGGAGATCATAGAGCTGCTCTTCCACAAGATGACCGACGACCCCATGAACAACAAGGACGTCAAGAAGGTGGGCCTTCGGCTTCCTGGGGCGGCTGAGGGGCTGCTAAGGCTGGGGCTGGGCCCGGGGCAGGCGCTGACCCCCGCCGAGGGAGGTGTCGTGGAGTGGCTGGACAACGAGTGGTCTGGTGGGTGGGCCAGCCTTTAGCTGCCCTATCAGGCCCAGCACCTTCCTGGCCTCTTGTCTGAGTCTTCCCTGGGGTTGGGGCAGGGGCCCCAAATCCAGATCCCAGCTCCCCAGTGAGCACGCTGAGTGGGGGCCCTGCCCCAGGCCTCTGGTGGAGTCCAGCCTTAGACATTGGCAGCCTGGCTCCAGCCCCTGTGCCCATGAAGCAAGAGACAATCCTGCCCCTCCTCAGCCCTCCCTCTTTGGAGGAAGGTGCTGGATGGGTCTTGCTATGGCTTGTCAGACTCTGATGCCCAGCCAGGGGGCTGTGGGCTGGTGCCGGAAGGGCCATGACTGCTGGGGTGGGGCCATGACTGATGAAGGCGGGGCCATGGCACCTGGGGGCGGGGCCATGACTGATGGGGAGGGGCCATGACTGATGAAGGCGGGGCCATGGCACCTGGGGGAGAGGCCATGACTGATGAAGGCGGGGCCATAACTGATGAAGGAGGGGCCATGACTGATGAAGGCGAGGCCATGGCACCTGGGGGCGGGGCCATGACTGATGGGGAGGGGCCATGACTGATGAAGGCGGGGCCATGGCACCTGGGGGAGAGGCCATGACTGATGAAGGCGGGGCCATAACTGATGAAGGAGGGGCCATGACTGATGAAGGCGAGGCCATGGCACCTGGGGGCGGGGCCATGACTGATGAAGGCGGGGCCATGGCACCTGGGGGCGGGGCCATGGCACCTGGAGGCGGGGCCATGACTGATGGGGCGGGGCCATAACTGATGAAGGCGGGGCCATGGCACCTGGGGGAGAGGCTATGACTGATGAAGGCGGGGCCATAACTGATGAAGGAGGGGCCATGACTGATGAGGGCGGGGCCATGACTGCTGGGGGCGGGGCCATGACTGATAAAGAGGGGCCATGACTGACAAAGGTGGGGCCATGACTGATGAAGGAGGGTCCATGACTGCTGGGGGCGGGGCCGTGACTGATGTGGAGGGGCCATGACTGATGAAGGCGGGGCCATGAGTGATGAAGAGGGGCCATGACTGATGAGGGCGGGGCCATGAGTGATGAAGAGGGGCCATGACTGATGGGGAGGGGCCATGGGTGATGAAGAGGGGCCATGACTGATGGGGAGGGGCCATGAGTGATGAAGAGGGGCCATGACTGATGGGGAGGGGCCATGAGTGATGAAGAGGGGCCATGACTGATGGGGAGGGGCCATGAGTGATGAAGAGGGGCCATGACTGATGGGGAGGGGCCATGAGTGATGAAGAGGGGCCATGACTGATGGGGAGGGGCCATGAGTGATGAAGAGGGGCCATGACTGATGGGGAGGGGCCATGAGTGATGAAGAGGGGCCATGACTGATGGGGAGGGGCCATGAGTGATGAAGAGGGGCCATGACTGATGGGGAGGGGCCATGAGTGATGAAGAGGGGCCATGACTGATGGGGAGGGGCCATGAGTGATGAAGAGGGGCCATGACTGATGGGGAGGGGCCATGAGTGATGAAGAGGGGCCATGACTGATGGGGAGGGGCCATGAGTGATGAAGAGGGGCCATGACTGATGGGGAGGGGCCATGAGTGATGAAGAGGGGCCATGACTGATGGGGAGGGGCCATGAGTGATGAAGAGGGGCCATGACTGATGGGGAGGGGCCATGAGTGATGAAGAGGGGCCATGACTGATGGGGAGGGGCCATGAGTGATGAAGAGGGGCCATGACTGATGGGGAGGGGCCATGAGTGATGAAGAGGGGCCATGACTGATGGGGAGGGGCCATGAGTGATGAAGAGGGGCCATGACTGATGGGGAGGGGCCATGAGTGATGAAGAGGGGCCATGACTGATGGGGAGGGGCCATGAGTGATGAAGAGGGGCCATGACTGATGGGGAGGGGCCATGAGTGATGAAGAGGGGCCATGACTGATGGGGAGGGGCCATGAGTGATGAAGAGGGGCCATGACTGATGGGGAGGGGCCATGAGTGATGAAGAGGGGCCATGACTGATGGGGAGGGGCCATGAGTGATGAAGAGGGGCCATGACTGATGGGGAGGGGCCATGAGTGATGAAGAGGGGCCATGACTGATGGGGAGGGGCCATGAGTGATGAAGAGGGGCCATGACTGATGGGGAGGGGCCATGAGTGATGAAGAGGGGCCATGACTGATGGGGAGGGGCCATGAGTGATGAAGAGGGGCCATGACTGATGGGGAGGGGCCATGAGTGATGAAGAGGGGCCATGACTGATGGGGAGGGGCCATGAGTGATGAAGAGGGGCCATGACTGATGGGGAGGGGCCATGAGTGATGAAGAGGGGCCATGACTGATGGGGAGGGGCCATGAGTGATGAAGAGGGGCCATGACTGATGGGGAGGGGCCATGAGTGATGAAGAGGGGCCATGACTGATGGGGAGGGGCCATGAGNCTCCGGGAGTGGGGTCTGGGGGCTCCAGGAGTGGGGTCTAAGGGCTCCAGTGGTGGTGTCTGGGGACTCCGGGTGGGATCTGGAGGCTCCAGGGGTAGTATCTGGGGGCTCCAGGAGTGGGTTTGGGGGCTCCGGTGGGTCTGGGGGCTCCGGGAGTGGGATCTGGAGGCTCTAGGTGGGATCTGGGGGTTCCAGGGGTGGAGTCTGGGTGCTCAGGGTGGTGTCTGGGGGCTCCAGGTGGGATCTGGGGGCTCTGGGGGTGGGGCCTGGGGGCTCCAGGTAGGCCTGAGCCAGGCAAGCTCGTGGCATTCTCCTCGGCCTTGCCTGGGCCTCTGGCTTATGAGGCGACATGCGTTGGCAATCACAGATCTGCCCGCAGTTGAGGGTGTGAACTGACGGCCCTGCCCCCCGCACTCGGGTCGCTGGAGGTTGAGGGTGGGTGCTTTCAGAGCTGGGGCCTTTGTGTCTTCTCTGCCGTCTTCTCTTTCTTCTTTCCGTCTTGCCCTGTTTTCCTTTCCCCTCTAGCTTTTCTGACCCAAATGGGCTCATTTTTCCGAACCCTCCTTCCTCATTCTCTGGAGGCCCTGAGCACTGGCCGGGCGTGGTGGTGGCCGAGGGCTGGGCGGCCGCGCCACCTTTGCTCCCAAGGCCCGTGGCTGCCTCTGCCTTTTTTTGTTTGTTTCTGTTGTTCTGCTTCAGACCAGCGAGTTTTTCTGGCATCACGTTTAGGGAGTGGAAGCAGGTGGGCCGCCATCCTGGAGGGGCCCTNGAGGGCTGGGCGGCCGCGCCACCTTTGCTCCCAAGGCCCGTGGCTGCCTCTGCCTTTTTTTGTTTGTTTCTGTTGTTCTGCTTCAGACCAGCGAGTTTTTCTGGCATCACGTTTAGGGAGTGGAAGCAGGTGGGCCGCCATCCTGGAGGGGCCCTGGGACGTCTTGTGAGAGGGCATGTACACGTAAGCGTGTACATACAGACGCGTGTGCGTGTGCGTGTGCAGCCCAGCAAGAGTGTGCGTGCATGCCTGCCCGCGCCCGTTCCAAGTGTGCTCCCGTCTCCCCGCAGTGGTCCTACGGCTTCTATCTCATTCACTTGCAAGGCAAGCAGGGCTTCCAGTTTTTCTGCAAGACAGAGGACATGAAGAGGAAATGGATGGAGCAGTTTGAGATGGCCATGTGAGTCCGCCCTGACAGGGCTGTGGGGGTGGCCGGCCCCCCGTGGGCTTCTCAGATGAGAGGCCCTTCAAGTGACCCGAGGCTCAGCCTGCCTCCGTCGCCCTGGATGAAGCCAGCCCCCTCCCCCGGGTGGCATTCTTGATCCTTAATCTACCAGCAGCCGGAGGGCCTGCCCCCCAGAGCCCAGCCTCCCACACCTGGGTATGGCTGGGCCGCGAGTGGCCAGGAACGGCTGTGATGCCGGGAGGACTCATGGTGACCTGGGTCCTCGGGGCCTTCCAGGCTGTGGATGGTCACCTCTGGGGACAGCCCTGGAGCCGTTTCTCTGTGAAATCCAGGAGGAGCCTGTTGCCCCACAGAGAAAGCTGGTCATGGGGGTCCCTGGCCACATCCGACCTTGAGGCCGGGGGACCAGGCCTGGGGCCTCCAGGCAGGTGCACTCGCCTCCCCTCCTGGTGGAAGGGCAACACTGGTTCTGGGGTTATTGGGGGGCTCAAACAGGGTCCCACATGGGGCCCGTTGAAGGAGGTGGCAGCCAGGCAGTGGGCCCCGCGGCTTCCAGGGCTTGTAATTTTCTTCCCATATTCTGTTGTGAAAAACTTCAAGTATTTATCCAAAAACATCGTGGTAAACGCCCAGGCTCCTGCGTTCCCATCTTGGACTGCTCTCTGCAGCTGTCCCCTGTCCCCACCCCGCGCCCTGCCCTGGAGCCGTCTGGTGAATTGCAGACACGGGTGCAGTCCCTGTGCTGTTTGAGGGGACCCATCGTGAGCTCACGATTCATTTAGATTTTGCCATCTGGGGCTCACTCACGGTGACATCCTTAGCGGCTTTGCTGAGTCGTGATGAGGGGTTGCCCCAGCCCACACCGAAGCCCTGTCCAGAGACAGCTCTTCACTGTCACCCTCAGAAACGTCTCGAAAGCCTCCGCTTGGACCCCCACCCTCCCCGGGGCATCAGGGTCCCTGGGTAGGCCTGGGAGTTCTGGCAGCGCCCGGCTCCTGCGTCCTGGCCCCCTGACCCCCGGCTGATTCCAGGGTTCCCGTGTCAGTGGGGCTCAGGGAACCTGGCGCCCACTCTCCCTCCCGCCAGGTCAAACATCAAGCCCGACAAGGCCAACGCCAACCACCATAGCTTCCAGATGTACACGTTCGACAAGACCACCAACTGCAAGGCCTGCCGCATGTTCCTCAGGTGGGTGCCCTGCCCTGCCCACTCCCGGCCCCCGAGGGCGCCTGGGGCTGCCCCGTCCTGCATTCGCAGCGCCCAGCGCCCCGAGGCCAGCGCTGCGCTGGGCCCCAGAGACCCGGGGGAGTGGCCCGTCTGTGTGGGCCCGGCCGACCCGCGGTGCCTGGGATCCAGCGGGGAGGGGAGGCGGTGGTCCCGGGGGGCCCGTCACAGGCGCTGCAGAGCCGGGCCGGCACCAGGCTGTGCGTTTGGGCGGGGGTCCTGGGGGCTCGGGGGCTGGGCTGGCGGCTCTGGAGGGCGGAAGGTCAGGCGGGTCGGGGCTCACCTCGCCTCCTGCCCTCCCCTGGCACAGGGGTACTTTCTACCAGGGTTACCTCTGCACCAAGTGTGGCGTCGGGGCGCACAAGGAGTGTCTGGAAGTGACCCCTCCCTGCAAGATCAGTGAGTACCGACCCCGCCCCGCCTGTGGGGCACGAGCCCCAGGGCCAGCCCATCCCTCACAGCGGCCTGCCCACCTTCTCCTTTCCTGTGGTGGTGGCCCCACAAGACAGAACCAGATGAAGAAACTGAGGCTCGGGATGGGGGGGGGCATCTGCCCCTGGGCACACAGGCCCAGCCTGAGAGCGGGCGGGGTCTCCACGGCCAAGCCCTCCTCCTATCCGCACTCTTGCTGGCCCTTCTCTGCCTCTTGAGTGCCTTCGGTGCCTTCTGCCTTTTCTCTGACTCACTGCAGTTGTTTCAGACTCTAGACCCCCACCAGGCCCCGGGCACAGGACGTCCTTGGCAGTTCGTGGAGATTTCCCTTCACAGAGGAACACCTTGGCCCCTGGTTCCCCTGCCCCATTTGTAGCTGGTTCCCCTGCATGCCCAGCATTTATTACACAAGGCTCCCCTTGGCCCCGGGCCCATTTGTCAGATGGGAAGGCTGAGGCTCCTCTGAGTCGTCTTGGTTTGGGGGATGAGCTGGGGGAGTGCCCAGCCTAGAGCAGCTGGATGGCAGCCGGAAGCCTCAGACGGTTCTGAAAGATTGCAGCCGCCGCCGTGGTCAGGGCTGGCCGCCCGTGGGCTCCAGGCTCCGGCCTGTGCTGAGCATCAGNAGTGCCCAGCCTAGAGCAGCTGGATGGCAGCCGGAAGCCTCAGACGGTTCTGAAAGATTGCAGCCGCCGCCGTGGTCAGGGCTGGCCGCCCGTGGACTCCAGGCTCCGGCCTGTGCTGAGCATCAGCACTGCTCACAGTGTTTCACGTGGGCTGAGCTGGCCCCGCGGCCCTGTGAGACGGGGCGGCCACGCTGCCGTCCACGCCCGGGGGACTTGCGCTCAGAGAGGCCTGACACGCTCCAGGTAGATGGGAGGACGTGCCAGGCCTGCTGATTCCCCAGGACACCAGCGCCCAGAGCAGGGGAGTTTCTGTCAGTGCCACATTTACTGCGACTGCTGGCCCAGCGCCCTGACCCGGGAGGAGGGTCCCACAGGTCAGCCTGGACCCCCTCGTCCCAACTGAGCCCAATGCCGCCCACTGTGGCCCAGCGGAGGCCCAGCAGCCCAGCTGCTCTGCTCCAGGCTGGAGGAAGCCGCCGGCCGCTCTGGCCCCAGAGAAGGAGGCTTTGCGGATTTGTCAGTGGATACCGCCCTCTGGTGGCTGCGTGTCCTTCATGTCAAGAGACTGGATGGTTCATTTCTTTTGACTTTTTTTTTCCTGGTCTTGAAACTAACATACTTATTTGTCAAAAATAATAGAGGGGCAAAAAAAAAGTAAGAGAAGAAATGGAATAAAGAAGAAAATAATTATCGCTTATGAATGTATTAAGAGATAATCAAAGGTGGTAATTTTGGCATGTTCCCTAACTAGTTTTCTAAGTTTTAAATAATCTTTCTGTTTCTCTTTGCCTTCTGATTGTTAAATACCCACTTTCCATACAAAATGTGGAGGAAAGTAAACAAGATAAAAGCAAGTCGTGATCACACCAGGCAAAAACAACTGCTGATGGCCATCTCCTGCCTTCTTCCTTTTTTTTGCAGACTCCCCCATTCCAATCCTTTTCAGGTTTTTGTGTTTTTCATATGTATAGCTGAGGGCTTCCCAGGTGGCGCTAGTGGTAAAGAACCCGCCTGCCAATGCAGGAGATGTAAGTAAGAGACACGGGTTTGATCCCTGGGTTGAGAAGATCCCCTGGAGGAGGAGAAAATGGCAACCCCCTCCAGTATTCTTGCCTGGAGAATCCCATGGACAGAGGAGCCTGGAGGGCTACAGTCCACGGGGTTGCACAGAATTGGACACGACTGAAGTGACTTAGCATGCACATACAGCTGAGGCCTCACCAGAGAGGTGATGGCGTGTCTCTTGCAAGCTGGCGTTGTCAGCATACTCCCCGCAGCTCTGAGAGCCCCTGCTGGGCCCCTGGCTTTGTTTTAAGAGGCCGTGGTCCCCCCGAGGGCAGGTGCATGCCTCCCTCTCTTGTCTCTCTGCCCTGCCCCAGCCCCTCCTGGCTTTTTCTCCTCTGCGCAGTCCAAGCTGCTTCCCTTCTGACCCACAGCCCACGTGCTTATCTTTCCTCCTGGTCTCAGGCAACATTCCCCGGCCTCGCTGGCTCCACCTCTGGGCCGGGCAGGTTTACCTGTCTGCTGCCCCTGCAGCCAGGATGTCACAGGGAGATGCTGGACCCTCCAGGGTGCGTCTCCCCAGGAAGCCTCCCCCGGGGGCACCAGCTGCCTGCCCGCCTGGTGCCTGACGCCCCTAACCTCTGCTCTTCAGGGTCGGATTCCTGCGTCTGCCCAAGGCAGGCTGCAACCGTGAGCATGAGGAGGTGTTGAAGGCCCGTCAGCCACACGTCAGCCACTGCGGCGCTTGCTTTGTCCAACGGTGGAGTTGGCCGCCCGGCTGGTCGGATGGCTGGGGCCCAGCCCGGCACTGTGTCCTCGCCTAGGGTCACCCCAGGGCAAGCAGAAAGAATCTCTAGAATGTTCGCCTTCCATCTGACAAGCTGGCGTGCCCCGTGTGTGAGAACGGGCGGGCTGACAGAGCAGCTTGCCTCCTCCGTCTCTTGTCCCTTGCCCGTGGCAGGCATCACTAGTCAACTGTCGAACTCTTCCCTTTGGGCCTGCTTCCGCCCCATGACTGGGGAGCTGCTGCCTTGGAGCAGAGCTGGTTCGTGCAGGAAGCCTGTTGGCCATGGGGCCGGATACGCTGGGGGTGTTCTCCCGTGGGCCCCCTGTAAGCAGAGCTCAGAATTTGCCGTTAGAAGTAACTGAGGGATTTTCATGGCCACCAGCCGTGCGTGTCCGTAACCTTTGTCTGAGCCCACAGGCCTTACTGTGCCCCTTCTTGCACACTCGGGTGCCCCCAGCGGCTCTTGCTGTGAGGTGACAGCCCCCCGGCCCGCAGTGCTGGCCCCTTGCCCTCTGACCCCAGTGTGCTTTCTTTCCAGGTTCTCCTGCAGACCCGGTGAGTCCGCCAAACCGTTCCCTTCCCGCTGCCCTGCACCACACGCCGCCCTGTGCCCGGAGCCAGAAAGACCCAACCATTCCAGCCCTCAGGCTCGTGGGGCCAGGCCGGCTCGCAGGGCCCCCGTTGGTAACGGGGGCCCTTTGTTTTCCGTTGTGGTCACCACAAAGAAACGGGTCCCGGGCATGGCCTCCTGGGGCCCGACAGCTCGTCTCCCTGCCCAGCTGCCACCCGTGCCGCCTGCCCGGGGTCCTGCTGGGGGCTGTGCGTGCTCAGCTCCGTGACAGGCATCCACCCGCCTCCCTCCCGTCCACATTTGATGTAATGCCCTCTCTTGAGCTGAGTCAAAGATGAGGTCGCTGAGTTCACTTATGGGGTGTGGACGTCATGTCTTTCCCTGGACATGCGGTCCAGCACTTAACAGGCTCTTACATGGGGTGCAGAGATGCCCTCCAGGCGGAGCCAACAGCCCACATTTATTGTGTGCAGCAGGACCTGTCCCAGACAGAGAAGACAAGCCCCAGGCTCTGAGCAGGGATGCCTTGGGTGGGGTGGTGGGGGCAGGCTTCCTGGAGGAGGTGGGAATTAATGGTCAGGGATGGGAGGAGGAAGAGGACAGATGTCCGGGGCTGCGGAGGGGCGCCGAGGTGGAGGGTGGAGGTCCCACGGGGAAACTGTCGCAAGTCCCCGTGCGTGTCCAGGACGTGTCCCTGCCTTGAGCTCTGTCGTTGGGTGTAGGGGGTGGGGGTTGCCTGTTGCCTGGGCAGCCTTCTGTCCTCACTGTCGTCTGTCCTTGCCCTCACAGGACGCCTCTGGAGCAGGGCCAGGTGAGTCTGGGACTTGGGCCTTCTCTGCTGTCGTCCTTGTCAGCAGTCACCCTGGGAGCCTGGGCCAGACCACGGCAGCTGCCGGCTTCGCCCCGAGTTCCCAGCTCCGGGCTCCCAGGGTCCGTGCGGCCTCTGGCCCCATCTCCCTCCCACCTCCATGGCCTCCCCTGGGAGCCGTCTTAGTTTCTGACGACACAGCGCCAGGGGTGGGGACAGGGCCCAGCCTGCCCAGGGTCCCTTCAGCCCAGGGGAAACTCTGAGCTGCGGCCTGGTGACCCCAAGCAGAGCAGGGGTCAGACCTGGCAGACACGGCCCAGACGTGGCAGACACGGCCCAGACGTGGCAGACACGGCCCAGACGTGGCAGACACGGCCCAGCCCTGGCAGACACGCCCCAGACATGGCAGACACGCCCCAGACGTGGCAGGCACGCCCCAGACGTGGCAGACACGGCCCACGCAAGGCCGGGCCGGTCAGAGCAGGGCTCGAGAGGCCCACAAGTTCTCTGGGGCACAGTCAGGCCCCCGTGTCAGCCCAGAGGTGGCCCTGAGCAGCCGGGTGGCCTCGACTGGCCGCTGACCCTGCCCCCGTCTCTAACGGGATGTGTGGTCTCCCGCTCCATGTGGCACTCTGTCATAGATCCCAGGGTGTCTGGAGGAAGGCACGTAAAGTGCTCTTTAAAAATAGGTTACTGTTATGGAAATGATACCCTGAATCTGTTCATCACATAAATAGTTTATTGATAACTTACAATGTTTAACAAAGAGACATGGGAGTCTTAGGAGAAGAATTCAAGGAGGGATGCTACAGGGCCCCACCTACTTCCAAGAGCCCCAAGAAGTCCGAGAAGGCCGGGGAAGCCAAGGGCGCCTTGGGACGAAGTCACCAAGCCAGGCCTCTCTTGCCCTGTCCTCCGCAGGTCCCAAGATGGTGGCCGTGCAGAATTACCATGGCAACCCCGCTCCACCCGGGAAGCCGGTGCTGACCTTCCAGACGGGCGATGTGATCGAGCTGCTGAGAGGCGACCCCGAGTCTCAGTGGTGGGAGGTGGGTCCCGGGAGGATCTCACCCCCAGCTGCCCCCTCCTCACTCCCCAGGGCAGAAGTGGAGAGTCCTGTGTTTGCAGGCAGGGGTGGGTGTGGGGTGCTAGACCATCAGACAGAGGGAAGAGGGCTATTCGCAGGGCCTGGGCGTCAGGGTGTCTGCTTTGACATGGCAGGGGGAGCAGCGTCCCCTCGCCAGAGACACCGTCATCATCCGAGCCCTTTATCCGCGGCCCCTGGCCTGGGCTGCATCCTGTTCATCCAGACCATGCCTCTCCCGCCCTGCTTCCCAGCCCGCCCCAGTCCAGGCCAGCACCACCGTGCCCAGCACTGGGGGGACAGCATGTCCAAGGCCCCACACAGCCGCCCCCAGGAGACACAGGTCCCCGTGATGGTCTGTGGTTCTGAGCCAAGAATCTTGCTTTTCCAGTTATAAGGCCCGAGAAGGGGGGTGGGGTGGCCCGTGGGGCTCCTCTCCTGAGCCCCGCCCCCGGAGGTCCACGGGCCCTCAGGGACACAGGGCACTCACCCAGCCCAGGGACCAGGGACCAGGGTGACCTGCTCAGAACTGGCGCACGTGTTCACCAGTGTCTGAGTCCTGTTACTGGCGGCCTCGTCATTGTGTGCGGTCCTCGTCACTGCGTCCTTGCTCACGGGCTCACTGCCCTAGGCCGTGCCTCGCGTGACTGCAGATTCGAGAGCTGAGTCAGTGGCTGCGGTCCGGTCTCTCCCACACTGACCCCAGCCACCCACTGCCCCCTCCTCTCCCAGGTGTCCCCGGGCCCGTGAGGTCTGGGTGGCCCTGCAGACACTTGGCTGACGGGAAGGTGGGGGCTGCTGGGGGCCCTTGGGAGGGAGCGGGGAGAACAAGACCCCGACCGCAGGTCCGTGTTCCTCTGGCGGCTCGGGAAGGGCCGGTGTGGATACGAGGAGACAGCAGCCAGGAGCGGGGCTCTGGTCTCAGCGCCAAGCGAGTTTTATCCCTTCTCTGGGGCCTCAGTCCTTGTCTGGGAAGTGGGGTGCCCCCCCTTCCTGCCCAGAATGGCTCTGAGTTCAGCTAAGGTGACAACAGACAGGTGCTGCTGTCACAGGCTTCTCAGGGACTCCCCTCATGCTCCTTGGGGTAACCCCTGCCTCCCCCCAAAACTCGCCAGGCCAGGCCCCGCGTGCCTGACCCTCTGTCCACTCTCAGGGTCGGCTGGTGCAGACCAGGAAGTCAGGCTACTTCCCCAGCTCGTCTGTGAAGCCCTGTCCTGTGGATGGAAGGGTGAGTACTTTTCACGGAAGCTTCTGGAGAGCAGGGCCAGGGTGCCATGGGCGCTGAGAACGTCCTCCTCACTCAGGACACCCTGGGCTTGTTCAGGCCATCGCGAGCTGGCCTCAGAGCTGGGACGGGAGTCCAAGAGGCAGGTGTGCCCTCCTGGTGAGAGGACATGGCTGGTTTTAAAAACACTAAAATGGGCATCTCTGCAGCAGGCATCATGGACCAGAGACCAGCTGCCTGTCTTCAGCTTTTAGGGCCTTCATAGGTCTTCTCCCTCAAACCTGAAGATGCAGAGCTAGGGGTTGTGTTATTTAGAAAAGAAGCAATATGGCATTTCTTTCATTTGAGTGCTGTGGAGCAGATCCTGCTGTTACAAGAGGCATCAAGCTGTCAGCCTTGAATGAACGGCATCACCCCCACGCCCCCGGGAAAAGACAGCTAAAACTGAGAGAATGAAACTTCTCCCAGAGTGGCAGGAGGCAGGTGCATGGCTCCCGGGAACCCTGCTCCACCCACCGGGCCCTGCCTGGCCTCCGGTCCCACCCCACTGCCCAGCCTACTGCTTCGGCACGGGCCATTGCCCCAGGGAAGGAGAAAGCATTTTGGGACACGCCTTGCTGATGGGGCAAGGGGACCAGACAGCAGAGGAAGAAAATGTCGCTAACTCTGAGTGGCCTGCGTGTGTTGCGGGAGGCACTTCCTAGCCCCGGGCCTCAGTTTCCCCATCTGCGTGGTGACTGGGGTGGGGACAGGTAGTCTGGTGTTTTTAGCCAGCCTGTGGTCCAGTGAGGGGGCGCAGGGGGAGGGCTCTGGCCAGCGAGGGCACAGCGTGGGGACTGGAGAGCGGCACTGGTTCACCTGCACACGCGGCCCTCCGCCTGCAGGCACACGACCGCCGGCCCAGTGCCCGCCCTCGGGGCCGCGGCCGTCTGCACCGGAGAATGGGGGCGGGGGGTGTGCTCCTGGCCACCGCTGAGAAGTCCCCGCAGCCTTCGGGGTGCCCTCCTCCTCCTAACAGTGCACTGGCCGTTGAGTGCTATACGCTCATTCGTTCAGTCAGTCATTCATTCAGTCAAACCCTCCGAGTCCCTGCTTAGAGACCATGCGTCCCGGCACCCCCCAGGCCAGTGGCTCTGGGCGAGAGTCCACAGACGTGCTGGGAGCCAGGGCTGGGCCCCCCAGCTCGCCGATGATAGGAAACCGCTGGTCCCCACACTGTGGACAGTCCCCGGGGAGACACTGACCCCAGCGTTCTCTCCTGCCAGCCGCCCGTCAGCCGGCCGCTGTCCCGGGAGATGGATTACACGGCGTACCCCTGGTGAGTGGGTCAGCGGGGCCCCTTCGTGGTGGTGGCGTGGGGTCCCTGGCTGCCCCCCGTGTCTCCAGGGTGGCTGCGCCCAGCTGCACGCGGCCCCTTTCCCCCTTCTCAGCTGTGAGTCGCTGGGAAACAGGGAGAATCTTCTCGAACCCAGGCAGCTGTTTCCCCGTCAACAAACAGATCATCAGGTTAGAACATTTAGGAGAATGAAACCTTTTTTAAATGAGATCTTGCTTGAGTATAAAATATAGAAAAGGAGGTGTGAAAGTGTTAGTCACCCAACTCTGTCCGACTCTTAGTGACCTCATGGACTGTAGCCGCCTGGCTCCTCTGTCCATGGATTCTCCAGGGAAGAAGACTGGAGTGGATTGCCATTTCCTTCTCCAGGGGATCTTCTTGACCCAGGGATCAAACCCAGGTCTCCCGCATTGCAGGCAGACTCTTTACTGTCTGAGCCATATTTTTAAGGCCAAAAGTTATAACTGTATTTGCTCATACAGTGCTCGATGAGAGAAGTGGGGCTGTTTGATGAATAAAATGTGAGCATGGATGTGGGAGGCATGAGTCTCAAATGCGGGTCGGCCTAGGGTCCAGCCTTCATCACTCCACCTGCTGGCTCAGCGGCTCCCTGGGACCGGGGCTCAGCTCACCCGTGTCTCTGAGACCCCAGGGCCTGCTCCTCCACTACATTGTTTGCTGGATTTGAATGTGCAGAGTGGAGGACTTGCCTGTGATTTTTCACTTGACGCACAGAACTTCAGTTTTCTAATGAATCCATTTACAGAAGTCCCAACTCAGCCCTACAGGGAGGTGCGAATGGGGTCAGGCTTTGTTCTGGAGAAGAGATGGGCTGGGGGTGGGCTTCATTTTCATAGAGATGGAGAGAAAAGCTTTCAGACACGAAAGGTTAGGACACAAAACAAGACCCTACGTGAGCAGGTTTTTTTCCTTCTGCCTAAACAGTAAGAATTTGGAAAGGAAATTTTGATCTTTGCCTCCTCTCTGAATGCCTCTTGCAGACCCTGGGTTCTGGAGGGTGAGACCCAGGTGGACTGGCTGGGTCTGGGTCCTGTGTCGATCCTGTGCGCTCCAAGCAGACGCCCCGCCCCTGTTTCCTCTGGGCCCCGCCCACCCTTCACCCCGCCTCCCGGGGCGTGGCCTCGCTTCCCTATGCGCTCTTAAGCAGGCTGGAGCCCGGCTGGTTGTCCTTCAGGCCACGTGTGCACACAGCTCTGTCTCCTCCTCTGTTCCAGGTTTGCCGGAAATATGGAGAGGCAGCAGACCGACAACCTGCTCAAGTCCCACGCCAGCGGGACCTACCTAATCAGGGAGCGGCCGGCAGAGGCCGAGCGCTTTGCCATAAGCATCAAGTACGTGCAGGCACGGAGGGGGACGCGGGGAGGGGGACGTCCCCAGTGCAGACAGCAAGCAGCATCTGGGCTGGACGTCTCCAGGGGGCTGCGGGGAAGACAGGTGTGGGGCTCTGGGGCCCGAGGCCTTGGCTGACCCGGGAGTTTGGGCTTCAGACAGACCAGGTGGCCTGCTGGATGGATGGACAGACAGTTCGAGGCAGGCCCAGGCTGGGGCGGGAGCAGGAGGTGTGGACCAGGGGTCAGGGTCTTTGCTCCAGCACATGTGCGATAAGCCCGGAGCCCTGCAGGGTGGGGGCCGAGTTGACCTGCATAGTGACCACTGCGCCCGTGTGCTTGGCCTAGGTTCAACGACGAGGTGAAGCACATCAAGGTGGTGGAGAAAGACAGCTGGGTCCACATCACAGAAGCCAAGAAATTTGAAAGCCTCTTGGTACGTGGTCCTGGGGGGCTCCCACTGGCCCGTCCCCAAAGGTGGGAGGATGGTCCAGGTCTCCCACTGAGGCTGCACAGAGGAGGAGCGGCCCCCCACAGCCACTCCTGCAGGCCAGGCTCCCAGTGGGAGAGTCCAGCAAACGTCCCCCTCCGCTGGGCTAGGGGCTGCTCTTCTGCGGTTGGGCGGGGGGTTGGGGGGGGAGTGTTCCCAGTGTGAGAAAAATCCGGGAAGGCTGGTCTGTAAGGCACCTTGGGACAGGTAAGGCCGCTCCCAGGTCAGGACCTCTGTCCCCCAAACCCTGAGGTGGACAGCAGGGTCACCGGCATCCCACAGCCCATTCACGCCGAGCCTCTGCCGGAGCCGGAGACCGAGGCCCAAGGAGGCTGCATCCAGGTCTGGCTGCCGGCCGGACTCATGCACACGGGGCTTCCAGTGCCTGCCCCCACCTCGCCCAGAACTGTCCCGGCCCAGCCAGAAAGCCATGAACACAGGAGCTGCCCTCCTTAAAATGATTTGAAGTTAGACCCAGTGTTTCTTTGCTCAGTCACACGTGCTGTGTGTGTGGAGGCCGTCTGACCAGAGCCCGTGGGCTCCCAGACGTCCCGCTGTGGCCGCAGAAAAGCAGACAGTAAGAGAGAAAATGCCCACGGCATGCCCCCAACCCTGACACTTTTGTTTCAGGGTGAGTCCCCACACTGCCTGGAGTGGAGCTCAGGTGTGGTTTATGGGTTCCTTTTTCAGACAGTGCCACTGTTCACACAGGACCCAACCTTAGTTTACCTCTGGGCACAGTGAACACGTGCTGGGGGACGGCCCTCTCTCTCCCTGCCCCGCTGTAGCTGCGTGGCACTCGGTCACGTGGATACACTGTGGATTCTAGAAGCACTTCCCTGCCGCTGAGTGGGTGGGGGTTTCTGATTTTTTTCCTACTGTGAAGAGTGTTGCAGGGCGTGTCTGTGGCCATCAGTCCTGGCCTCCTTCCCTGGATCTTCCTTTAGAAATGTTTGGGAGAGAAATTGCAGGATTGAAAGTCTTCGCCATACTGACCATGCCCCGCGCCCTGTGTGGGAGCTGGGGTTAGGGGCGGCTAGGAGGAGGGGTAGTTCCCGAGAGTCGAGGAGACAGTCCTCCGTGAGAACCTGAGGCGGGGGCGGGGCGCCCGGGAGGACTGCCTGGAGGCGGAGGCAGCATGCCTGTGCACATCCTGCAGGAGCTGGTGGAGTACTACCAGTGCCACTCGCTCAAGGAGAGCTTCAAGCAGCTGGACACCACACTCAAGTACCCGTACAAGGCACGGGAACGCACAGCCTCTCGGGCCTCCAGCCGCTCCCCAGGTGACGCCCCTTCCAGGAAGGCTTCTGTGGGTCTCCCTGACCTAGACCCCAGCCCCTTCCCGATTCCCGCCCCGGGAGTGGTGGCCCAGGCCCCCCAGCTCTCCACCACCACCCTGCCAAGCCAGGGTTCCTGGGCAGCCCCGTGTGGCCAGTCGGGGGTGCCAGCTCTGAATCGCTGCTCCAAATTTTGGTGCCTCTGCCTGGACGTCAGCGTGGGGAGGGAGCCGGGCAGGTCCCTTCTGTCCCCAGATCCATCCCTGTGCCCCAGCATTCCTCCTGCCCAGGGACCCCGGCTGCCAGGGAGCCAGAGCTGGGACCTCGACTTGGGGACGGGGCTGCCCGGCACACACTGGGGCCAGCTGGAGAGACCGGAAAGGTGGGCCCGGAGCTCGGTCTTGGAGCCACCCTGCTTCGTTCTGCTGCAGGGTCTCATAAGACCGCAGGGCCCACCCGGGCAGAGCAGGCCAGAGAGGAAGCTGGGCCTTTAGTGAGCGCCTCCTGAGTGCAAGCACAGGGCTGGGCTCTCTGCACATGTCCTTTCCTGCGTCCGCGCTCGAGCCCGCCCACTGGGAGGAGGTTGTCCAGGACACAGGTGCCCAGGGCGTGGGCAAGGGCAGCTGTGCCCGTGCCCAGGTGGGCCTCAAGGCTCCAGCTGCCCCCCTGCCTTCCTGGTGCCCTGGGCAGGCCCCCCCCCCACCCCTGCTGCCTGTGACTGCGTGTGGATGCCCCCAGCCCCACCTTTCACCTTCTCTCTCGCCTCTTTGCAGCTTCCTGCGCTTCCTACAACTTTTCTTTTCTCAGTCCTCAGGGCCTCGGCCTTGCTTCTCAGGGCTCCTCAGCGCCCTTCTGGTCAGGTACCGCTGCTGCTCGGGGGCGTGGGGGGCCAGGCCACACTGCTCTAGCCCAGTTTCCAGTTTGATTTGGGCTGTGGAATAGGGGACATGAGGGAGATTGGAAACCAGTGCCCTGGGGTCCATTTACAGGCCCTTTGTCAGGGTGAAGGCTGGGGGCTAGGCAGTGGTCACCCTGCGGCCCACTCGTCATGTGTTGCCCAGATTGTGTCCACATGGGAACGCCCTCAGGGAGCTGTGATGGCCCCCAGCGTGGGTGGTGATGCTCGGGCGCCAGCCCAGTGGAGCTCACATGGCCCACAACTGCAGGCTGGGGCACCCACAGAGGATCAAGGGGCCCTGGGACTGGAGCCTGGTCTGTCCCTCTGTGGGCACAAGGCCGGGCCCCGGGGGAGAGACCCAGCTCAACCTGAGGACCCCCCCCGGAGGCCCCGACGTCACGTGTGACGCCGCCCGTCTCCCCCAGCAGTGTTTACACCCCGTGTCATCGGCACGGCTGTGGCCAGGTACAACTTCGCTGCCCGCGACCTGCGGGAGCTCTCGCTGCGGGAAGGTGACGTGGTGAAGATATACAGCCGCATTGGCGGGGACCAGGGCTGGTGGAAGGGCGAGACCAACGGCCGGGTGAGTGGGTTGGCCTGGCCTCCGGCTCCTGGCCCCAGCCAGAGATCCCACCTCACTCTGGGGCTTGGGGAGGTGGGGCTCCGGCTGACACCAGACCCATTGCCCTCTGACCTCACCCGGAAGACTTAGTGTCCACAGGCTCCGTGAGCTAGGGTCAGATCGTGAGGAAGTGACTTCCTGGCTCGGATCTGGACCCCGGCCTGTCTGACCCTGTCTCTGTACTCAGGCATGTTCTGGGGTCCCCTGTGGCGAAGGCGGAGACACTTGCTTATGCCCGACCCTCTTTGCAGGCAGATTGCCCCGGGCCTGAGAGCAGAGCCTGGGTGCTCTTGCTGGGTTCCTGCCATTCCTTAGGGCTCCGTTTACACCGTGGTGATACGGGAAGGGATACATCGTAGCCCCACCCAGCCTGCGATTCTACGACCCATGGCTCCTTATCCCGGTACCCTGTCTGGCCTCCCTGGCTTTGACCGGTTCCATTGGCGGGCACCCAACAGGGTACCTGAGCTCCACAAACCACTGATTAGGAAACGTCCAGCTTTTGTAGGGCTGAAGCTGCCCATAGAAGTGGCCAGACTTGGCTCCCATCACTCACCATTCCACTACCAGGTGTAGGAAACTGGTCTGCCTTCACCTGGCATGTTGTCTGCCCTTGGATACCCTCGCGTCTGACCCTGTTTCCATCTGACAGCCCTTCAGAAGTATGAGGCTGCTGAGTCCTAGGCAGTTGACCTAGAGGGCTGGGACCACTAGCTCTCAAAGTGTCAAGAGGCGTCTAGAGCTTCATAAGCACACCCCTGGGCCTTCACTTGATTACTTGGTTCAGGTGATATCTGCCAAGTTTCTCCACTATAAATGTGATGTAATTATTAAGTAATGTTCAGGGTAATACTTTGAAATCAGATAAATAGCCTATTCCTCATCAAACTTTAACCTATTTATTTTATCATTCATTCATTAATTTTGCCTATTCAGTTATTTCTATCATGGTAGGAAATAGTGACTTTCTATCATTTCTTTTACACTTCTTGGTGGGCATTCTACTGAAAGAAAAAGCTTGCTCTTCTCTACGTGGTCATTCCCCGCCCCAATAATCAATCAGACCTGCTTCCTTGCCGTGAGCCATTGTACTGAGTTCATTTTTGCAGAGTATTTTTACCGGAACTAGACTTCTAGGCTGGCAGCTCCTATTTCTGCACTTTGAGGTTGTCTTTCCATCGTCCCCATTCTGCCATCATTTCGGTATAAAGGTCCATCAACATTCTCACAGTGGTTCCTTTGAGAAACAGGGCTCCGTGTGAAAAGAGAACCTTTGCTTTTCTTCGGTTTTACCAGCATGTGCCTGTGCATGTTTTTTTCTGTATTAACTCTGAGATTTGCAGAGCCTTTTGAATGTGCGGCTTTCTGTTCTTCATCTGTTTGGGAAATTGCTTCAGATACTTGTCTGTTCCGTTTTCTCTCTTTTCTCTTTCTGGGGCTCTGTTCATGAGTCTTTTTCACCATTTCTTGTTCAGCCACAAAGTCGTGTCTGACTCTCTGCGGCCCCATGGACGGCAGCACACCAGCCCCCGAGGCCCGAATGTTATTCATGCCGTTTCATGTGTTCTTCATCCATTTTCTCTGGTTTTCCATCTCATTGCTTTTTATTGACTGATCCTTCCAGAGTCTTCTGTTTTGTCCATTCTGCTCTTGATTTCAGTCATTATGTTTTTCAGTTCTAGGATTTCTGTTTGGTTTCTGATTTCAGTTCTCTGGTAAGATTTTCTGCTTTTTCATCAGTTTTCTGAAGCAGACAAGTGGGGGTTGCTTATATTTCTTCATGGATGACCCCAGTGTCTGGATTCCCTGTAGATTTGTTTCTGTTGCCTGCGTTTTATCTTAGTTTCTGTCACTTGGGCCTGATCAAATGCCAGGCTTGTGCATAAAGCACTGCAGAAGCTCTGGATGGATGCTGTTTCCCTCTGGAGAGGATTTAATTTTTTGTTGCTGGCAGTTAGCTGGTGGGCAGGTGGTCTCGAACAGCTCAGGGCTGGTGCGTTTCAGGGTCTGCCCGCCTCCTGGGCCCTGACTCCACCAGGTTTTCTGCCTCTTCTCCAGCACCTGTCTCGGGACAGGCCTGCCTTAGAACAACAGCCTTTTAAAGAATCCCCCCATCTCCACGAGCCTCCACTCACCCTCATCCTCCACACACACTTCCCGATAGCTTCCCTGATTGCTCAGTTGGTAAAGAATCCAGCTGCAATTCAGGAGACCCTGGTTCAATTCCTGGGTCTGGAAGATCCTATGGAGAAGGGATAGGAAACCCACTTCAATATTCTTGGGCTTCCCCTGTGGCTGAGCAGGTAAAGTATCCACCTGCAAGGCAGGAGACCTGGGTTCAATCCCTGGGTTGGGAAGATCCCCTGGAGAAGGGAAAGGCCACCCCCTCCAGTGTTCTGGCCTGGAGAATTCCATGGACTGTAGAGTCCATGGGGTCTCAAAGGGTCGGATGCGACTGAGCGACTCGCGTTTTTCACACAAACGCTCACAGGAGTCTGACGCTGTTTTCAGATTGGCTGGTTTCCTTCAACATACGTAGAAGAGGAGGGAGTCCAGTGACAGCGAGACCACAGACGGGGCTCGCGGGTCTTCTTGGAAGAGTTGCTCCAGTGATGAAGTCTGTCTCGAGCTCTGCCACTCAAGAGGGAAGATGCCTGCCGACCTTGCAGTCTTCGCCAGCCCGTGGGGATGGGGAGGGGGTTCAGAGTCCTACATGTGATCTGTCCTGCCATCGGTCTTCCCCTGGTAGCCTGTCCTGGGTACACGCTGCTTGTACATAGAGGAAATCTGGGCCAGCCCTGGGTGCCCAGGAGAGGGAGTGCCCATGGGTGGCACCCTGAGCCCGGCTCTGGGTGACAGCTGAGGCCAGAGCTCACCTTGCCCCTGTCCTGTCAAGATGGCCTGCAGGAGCCTGGGCTTGAAAAGCAGGTGCCGTCCAGGGAGGGCTGGGCGCCGTGGAGGGGGCCTGCCCCTGGCCCCTTCCGTTCAGCCTCTGGACCCTCAGCCCTCCTGCATCCCGCTGCTCCCAGGGGGAGGCTTCAGGCCTTGAGAGGCAGAGGGGCCAGAGTAGGCCGCTGTGCCTGGGGACAGAAGGGGGCATCGCCAGGGCCTGTGCAGCCCCTCAGACTCCCCCGTCCCTCTGCTCTGGGGGTGTGCAGAGACCCCCAAGGAGGCCCCCCGCTCTCAGGCGGGAGCCTGAGGAACGATGAAGCTGCCAACCCTGCTCCCCAGTCAGAGGTACTGTCTGCCCGGAGTCCTCGGTGTGTCTGTCTGTCCTGCTGCCAGCTGGATACGTGGTTTAGAAACGCTGATGAGGGCGGGAAGCAAACGGAGTTTTCTGCTCGCTCGGGCTCTGCTGCTCACACTCCTCTCCAGAAGGACGCGCCCCCCACCCCCAGCTCCCGAGCAGGCGGGGGCCCTCTGCGTCTCCCACGTCCTGCCAGGTGGCCACTGAGAGTCTGCCCAAGCTTTGCACACACGTTGCTTCTAGCCCTTGGCAAGTCTTCCAGGACTCCTGCAGCCCATGAAACAGGGCCTGTGGCCAGCCCTTAGTAAGTGCTCTTGGTGGGTGGACTCCCCTCCTCACTCCTCCTGGCCCTTGACCTCTGGCTGGCTTGGCCAGTCCCCGTTCTGTCCACTCAGTTGTTGCGTGAGTCCCAGCGACGCTGTCTCCTCCCAGCGCTGTGCCAAAGCTGCCGCTGCGACCTGGGCTTCGTGGGTCCCCCTTTCCCAGGGCTCAGGTGCACATGGTCAGCCGTCGCTGAGGCTGGGCCTGCTGGGGCGGGTGCTGGGGGCCACGCCGCACTCGGGGGCTCCTCAGAGGTCAGCCTCATGATCCCCGGGCTCGGCTTGCGCTGCAGCCTTCTGGCTTGGGGAGGAGGCGGGGAGGGGCCTCAGAGGGCGTGTGGCAAGCAGGAGGCAGAAGGCAGCCAGCAGAGGCTTGGGGCGTGAGGGTGACAGGATTGTGTCTGGGGCGGCGGGCAAGGTGGGGGGCGGCGGGGAGGAAGAGTCTTCCACGGAGAGAGCAGACCCGGAACTTGTCGTCAGGGCGCACCCAGCACACGTGGCCTCTGCTCAGCCGGCCCAGCTGCCAGGCCGCGACAGGAGGGGAGGAGACCAGCTGCCCTGTGTGTTCACAGTTGTCAGGGGGGTTTTGGCGGGGAGGAAGAGTCTTCCACGGAGAGAGCAGACCCGGAACTTGTCGTCAGGGCGCACCCAGCACTTTGCACGTGGCCTCTGTTCAGCCGGCCCAGCTGCCAGGCCGCGACAGGAGGGGAGGAGACCAGCTGCCCTGTGTGTTCACAGTTGTCAGGGGGGTTTTGGTTTTCGTTGTCATTGTTGGGGTTTTGTTTTGTTTTGTTTTGTTTCGTTTTTTTTTAGTTTGGCTTGTTTATTTTTAAGAGGGGTTAAAAAAAAAGTTTGTAATTATTTCCTCCAAAGCTCCCATTATATGTCTGTGAATAATAAGGAAGAGATTTTATAATAGTGGAAAATAATGTGTATTTGGAGGTCATCATGAAACAAGGCGTGGCTGGAACGGAGGTCACTGAGAAAACCCTACGTGGAAGCCTGGTTCTTGTGACTGTTCTGCTTTGTTTTTGTTCGTCTGGAGACTCGTCTTGGTTGGGTTAGTTTTTGCACTGCTGGCAGCAGGAAGGGAGGAGGGCGCAGGCTGGGATGCGGGTGGTTTCGGCATGACACGGACAGCCTCTGGGGGGACTTCGGAGCTGGGACCTGAGATTAGCTGTGAACCCTTGGAGCCCGATGCATGCAGGTCAGGGGTCTGAGGGTCCTGCAGCTGGCGGTGACCCCACACAGAACACAGACTGTACATTTGCCAATAGGTTTTTTCAGACCACGGTTTCTACTGCAAATAAACCTGAGTTCTTTTCTGCAGGAGTGGCTGGCCTTTTGTGCTGGGGAGGAGGGCGTGGCTGGATTCCTCTGTCTGTGTCCAGAAGGTTCTACCCATCTGGATACTGTTGGCCCAGGGGTGGTAGCCTGGGTCAGACGTGGGCCTTGGGGTGACTTGGCCTTAGGCACAGGCTGGGGGTCTGTCTGGAGGGATAATGATGACAGGCCACCAACCAGGTGTCTCCAGGCTGGCCCAGGTCACAGGTTTCCTATGCAGCGTCCTGTGACCACCCCTCCCCCTCCAGCAGCTCTCAGAGGCGGCCATCTCTTCCTCTGTTTGGATGGGATGCAACCCCCAGCCCTGCCACTTGGGCGTGTCCTTCACCTCCTGAGCCTGTTTCTTTATATATACATGTTGGAGATAAAAAACAGTTTCTCCGGAGGGTAACTCTGTGGCCTGTGACCAGAGAAAATCACAATAGTACAGCCGAGACTTATTCTTCCCTTATGGGGATGGAGTCTGGGGGCAGTGGTGCAACGTGGCTTGGTGCTCCCAGCTCCTACCCCAACCCCAGACTCCTCTCATCTTCAGCATGTACTTCCCTCTTCATAGTTGCCTCATGGTCCAAGGTGGCTGCTATAGCTCCTGCCATCAAGGCCGTGAGCAGACACAAAAGCTAACACAGCAGTCCCCCTTATCCTGCTCAGCCAGGTTGTGGGCATGTGGCCAGCCCTGGCTGCACGGGAGGCTGCCAATGCAGGACCCGGGCTGGGTGTACAGCCTGGAGAATGTTGGGTTCTACTGCTGCAGAGACGTGACCAGACAGGCCCCACCTCGGGGTGGTGAGGGTCAGGCGAGACTCGGAGTCTAGTGCACATCTGGTGCTCAGCAGGTGTCCGGTTTTATTATAAACCCAGAGGCAAGCGCAGATGTTTGAGGTGACACAGCTGGAAGGAGTGTGAGGTTGCCCCCTGTCTCTGGTCTCCAGGACCTGGCTCAGGCTGGTACCCTGACGATCTGACGGGGGCCAGCCCCTCTCTGAGAATCTCTCAGGCCTGAGTCCCCCGAGATGCCCAGTGGTTTCCACACTGTCTGCCGACTGCAGCCTCTAGTTCCGAGTTCTCATGTTCACATGGTGAAGGAACGGCCTGGACCCTCGCTGACCATCCCCTGGGCCAGCACTCAGTTGCCCCGAGCAGGGGCCGAGCAAGCTTGGACAGCCCTGGAGAAAGCTCCTGGCCGCCCGAGGGCAGCTGTGGGTGAACCTGGGGCGCTGGGTGCTGAGGGGCCTTGGGGAGGGCACCAACAGCGTCTGCCGAGGAGTCCTGACCGGAAAAAGTGGGAAGCCCCCGCCCTGATGGAGGGGCTGCGTGTGGACCGGGTGGAGGCCAGCAAGGAGCAGCCCTGCCTGCCCGAGGTCACCCCAGCAGCTGGCAGGAGCAGTGCCGCTCCCAGCCGTCGAGGGCGGGCCGCCCACGGTTATCCTGACAACCGTGGACTCGCCTCGCGCAGGGCCGCCGTGGAGCCCGCTGCGGCCACAGTTGGAGAAACACCCTCTGAGCCAAAGGTGGAAACAGCCCATTTCTGAGCGAGGCGGACCCGCCACCCCTGCTCCCCACCCCCAGTGCGGGAGCCCACAGAAGAGTGGCAGGCTGAGCTTGAAAGAGGGGGCCTGTCCCGGAAAGGAGAGCCCTGGGCAGAGCAGCCTCAGGAGCCAGCGCTGGGGCAGCCTCTCAGCTCTCTGGCCGTCTGCGACTGGAACCTGGGATTCTAACACATGTGACACCAGCCACAGGTCCTACAGGCCAGGAGCCGGAGGTGGATACCGGCATAAAGCCGAGATCTCAGACAAGTCCCCCGTCATGAAAAGGAAACTAACGCGCGTGGATCCAAACAAGATCTCAGATCAGGACAAATATTTTCATGTGCTTTTTAAACTTTCTGGAAGTAAAACGATGCATGAACCCAGAATGGTTAACCCTGGGCTTCAAAGATAAAATAAAACCCCCTGGGTAGCAAGCAGAAGGTGAAGAGCCTGACTGGGAGAACAGCCTGGATTTGCCTTAGACCTCCACGGGTCACCGTGCCCAAGCCTTCGTGCTTGCCAAGTCTTCCAGGCATAAGGCAGCAAGTAGACTATTTCCAACCCTCCACACCTCAGGGACTGTCCTGCGTGGGAACACTGCCTGGACCAATGTCCAGGGTCAACCCTGCTCCTGATGAGTGGGAAACTTCACCCCAGGATTCGGGGTGGGGAGGATATTGAACCTCTATCTGTAGGAACACGTCAGACAAAGGGAAGATTTGGTTACAGAACCTAATACAATACAGTGATGCTCAACCCCATCACCAGAAATAATACATATCAAAACGATTTCAGCAAAGACAGCTGGGAAGAGACAAAGGCAGGCAGTGGGAGGCAGAAGAGGTGCACTGGTCTTCTCATCATTTCCAGGTGAAGTCAGGCTCCAGTGTTGAAACCTGGGAGGGGATAGAGGTGTAAGCATGTTTGATAGCACGAAGATGAGCTCTACGAAAGGAAAGACGATGGACTGAAACTGGAGAGGGGTGAGAGAGGAAGGCCGGGGAAGGGAAAGTGGTGCAGTCTCGGCTCATGGGAGAGAGATGACGGATCCTGCCTGAGAAGAGGCTTGCTGTCTTTGCCGGAGGTGTGTAGGTGGGAGGTTTTCTGTTGCTGCCACAAGTTACCATAAACGTGGTGACTCGGAGCACACACGCTGTCGACTTCCAGCTCTGTGGGCTGTCGAAGTCCCCACAGATCTCCCTGGGCTGACAGCAAGGTGCTGTGGTGCCTGTTCTTTTCTGGAGGTTCTAGGGGAGAGTCCATCTCCTTGCCTTTCCGGCTTCTAGATGCCGTCTGCATTCCCGGCACCTGAGCACCCCCATCCCAGTCTTCCAAAACCAGCGCAGTTGCATCTCCAACCCTTCTGCAGTCACATCGCTCTGTCCCCCTCTGACCACACCTGGGGAGGATTCTCCACTTTTAAGGACACACATGATCAGATGGTCCCACCCACATAATCCAGGAAAACCTCCCCCTCTCAGGGTCCTCCACTTTTATCACACCAGCAAAGTCTCTTTGCCATGAGAGGTCACATGGTCACAGGTGCCAGATGTTAGGGCGTGGACATCTTCACGGGGCCACTATTCTGCCTGCAATAGTAGGCTGGATACTCTGACCAGTCTTGCTGGTAAACACAACAGAAACGGTGGGAAAATATTTATAATTTCATCAATGAGCTGGTGATGAAGAAGGAACACACAGATGCCAAAAGGTAAGTGAGGGCAGGAGTCCAGAGAGTCAGCTGGTTCCCTCCCTAAGGGCGTTCGCCCCAACTGAGGAAGCCTGACTGCCGGTCCACAGAGCCCGGCTGGGATGGGGAGAGGGGACAGAACCCAAGCCTGACTGCCGGTCCACAGAGCCCGGCTGCGATGGGGAGAGGGGACAGAACCCAAGCCTGACTGCCGGTCCACAGAGCCCGGCTGGGATGGGGAGAGGGGACAGAACCCAAGCCTGACTGGCGGTCCACAGAGCCCGGCTGGAATGGGGAGAGGGGACAGAACCGAAGCCTGACTGCCGGTCCATGTGCCTGGCTCGGATGGGGAGGGGACAGAACCCAGATCCCTCCACAGCACCAAGTCTAACAGGCGAGCTCTTTCCTTGTTCTGGGACCCCACTGGGCCTGCCCTTAAATGTCAGGATGAAAAGAAACACACCCACCGCCCCAAACCACAACCACGAGACGGCACAGAAAATTCTTTTTCCTGGATCTTGACAATGACTAGAGGAAACAGCCAAAACTTCCTTGCGAACACGGATTATGGATGGAACTGTGTCCCTCCCCAAAAGGTGTATTGAAGTCCCAGTCCCTGAGAATGTGACCTGACTT